TCAAATAGCCTTAAAAGACATCGGCCATATTTGGCATCAGTGTTAGAGATTAGTGTTAGCATTTTGAAAAGGCTATCGAACGGTAGTTTTTAGTGTTAGCATTTTCAGAATTAATCTGCACCATTAAAATGTTATTCAAAATGCTAACGCTAATTGAAACGTTATTCCCAAGCAAGGCCATCCCCGTCACTTTTTTTTCTCCGCCATTCTTTACATTAATACCTCTCTTTTAAAGAAACTTAATAACAAATCCTTAATTAACAAATAATGTACAGCTAGTTTGTCTTGGGTCCCAATAATCACTCTTTTGATCTAAGTGTACAAGAAATAAAGAACAGCTGCAATGCACTCAATAAGCACCACTAACACAAGTGCTAAAAAGGGTTTTAAAAGCATAATCTCATAATCCTATTACATGATTGAGAGAGAAGAAGAAGAAGAAAATATCTCAAAGTAAACCATCAAAGGCAACATAAACCTTTGGCCAACTATTATCTACCACATATATTCTCTTGACACCCATTTTGAGAGGTGGGATCCTCTCTTCCCTTTCTCTGTCCCAATTCCATGTCCCACCTCACTCTTTCACTCACATTTTGTCACATGACTCACTCTATCTTAATTTAACACACACCCACTCCCTTTGTTGGGTGGTGAGATAGGGTGCCATGTGTATATACACCGGTGGGTGTGTGTTAAATTAAGGTGAGAGTAAGTTATGAGGTAAAATGTGAGTGGAGAAGGGAGAGGGGTGGACAGAGAATCTCATCCCCCAATTTGAATGTGATGTTATGATGAAATTCTATAATGTTACAATGTTTTGATAAATTTTAATATATTCCTTTTGTTCACAAATAAACTTTTCATTGCGCGTTACGAGGTTTGACTGAAGTTATTTTCAAATCATTTTATATGAGAAATGGTGTAAAGTTTTAAAACAAAAATTACATATTAAAAAATTATATCAAAAGATCTATAAAACTAGAGGTGACATGACTATATTATTTTATCAAATGAGTGACAAAAATAGACCAACAAAGTGAATAAAGTTTGACCTGTGAATAGTGAATGAAAAATTTATTTATAGACAAATGGAGTAGTTTTTACCACCAGCCTACCCACTCGTCCTTAGTCTCGTGGAATTGTCTAATGACCATCTTAGTGTATTCAAATAAATGGTACTCTGGAATCATAATACTTCATCCGTCCCGAAGTAGATTACAATTTTTTATCTCTCCTCGTGATAACTTTTTGTTTATTTACGTGTTTTCATTGAGTATATGATAAAAATAAAATATTTTTGTCACCTCTTATTTTATAAAACTTTTAATGTATTTTTTAATATGTAATTTTTATTTATTGTTCATATACCATTTTATAAATAAAATAATTTAAAAAAATGAAGAATTTTACCTTCTAACTCTCAATTTCTAATCAAAACCAATAAGGTATGACATTTTATGTCAAGGGTGAGTGTCAAAAGAGTTTTGATTTTCTTCTAGAACCTACTTAGTTAATACTCTGTAAGTGAAGTGATAAGCCCCACTTTAAACTTAATTCCCACCCATGCCTATTTTCCACGTTAACAATTACTCCATCTGTTCCTTTAAACACTTCCTATTTTTATTTTGGATCAAAATAAAGAAAGTGTAGTTTTGGTTAACTTTCCAATTTTGTTGGTTATTAGTGAAAAAAGTATGATGTGATAGATAGAGTATGAAAAAGTAGAGGTAAAAGTGGTTTTTTAATAGAAAGTAGAAGTGTTTTAGGGAATTAGAAAAAAATGAAAGGGGAAAGGTTTTATGGAACGGAAGGAGTACATATCAACTCTAACATCAAAACACATATTTTGTCGCAAAATGATTTACATTAATGAGATATTTGAGTCTTCCAATAATTTTTATTTGTTTATGAAACTATATTAGTTATTTAAAAAAATAAAATATTATTAGTATAACTTTTGATGTAATTTTTAAATTTATAATTTGTATTTTTTATTTATCTACCAATTTATAGATAAAATCATATTTAAAAAAATGAGATTTTGCACGTTTTTTCAGACAGTGTAAATGAATTTGGGACAGAGAGAGTACTTTATCCTTTGGGTGTTACAATGTTTTGTAATATTTGTCTTTTAAAAAATTATCACAACTCTTTTAATTTATTAAAATAGTATTTTTGTCTCAGAATATTTGTCCAGTTTTGACTTTTAATAATCAAATTGATAAATTTTTGCCATTAACTTAATAAAACTATATTCGATATTGATACAACTCATACAAGAATGTTTTTATTTTATTTATATTGTAAAATATTTTTAAAATATTATTTTATCTAATTAAAATGTCATGTAATTTTTGTTTAATAATGTCGATTTTGATTATATTGACCGTCAAAAGTTAAAATTAGTCAAATACGGGACGGATAATGAATGAATCAACAAGGGTATTGTGTATGTTCTAATTCACTCATATTTGTGTACTTCTGTTTTTAGTAAAATATAAATTTTTTCGGTGGCTCACAATTTTTTTATCGCCTGCACATATACTTTTTAGAGGAATTTATTTAAATAGCAGTAAAACTTAATGACTTTCTTTAAATAGCATCACATGTGTTTTCTTCCCAATGTAGCACTTTTAGTTATTATGCATTAGTCATTATTTAAGTAAATATTTGACATCAATGGACATTAGAGAATAAAACAATTTAAGTGTTATTTAGAGAAATGACTTAAGTTTTAGTGTTATTTAGTGCAAATATTTCTACTTTTTATAGTGTCTACACAAATGTTTTTTAATCGTGCACCTTTTTTGAACACTAATAACTCTATTATGATGTAGTATTTGTTCATAGATTCTCAACCTATTAAAGCTCGTAGAGTTACTATCCACACAGGGGATCAAACACATGACTTCTTATTTGGGAGAGCCATGGCGGTGCCATTGGACTATAAAGTCATTGGCTAATGGCACAAATGTCAATTACATTCGGAGTGCCACATTTTTTATATTATCTTATTAAAAACAATGGGGTTCCGTTGACACAGATCAACGGTGCCACTGCATTTTTTGACCACTTCCAGTACTCCGTTTGAAAAATTAATGGTTCTTACCCGTCGAACTCACCCCTTAAACCCCCGTCCTAGCCCCACCCTCGCCGTAAGCCCCGCACTGCTAGTGGCACCGTTGACCAGTGTCAATGGAACGGTGCCTTATTAAAAATCACGTCGGGTGAAATTACATCACTATTTAAGTAATGTACAAAATGCATGAATGAGTAATTTAATGCTATTGTAAAATCATAGATGACCGTTGTTTAATTTGCCGTTCAAGTATTCTATTTTCATTAAATATATATGAGAATTAATTAATCAACTTTTTTATAAAAAAAAATTAGATGTATTTTGATGAAATTTTTTATAATCAATTATTCCAGTTTTCATGGACAACAATACAAACTTAGGTATGTGTCAAATTTGGTTCCCTTTTATTTTTGGGAAAAAGATATTATGATTTTCATGTGTTCTATCTCTTCCCTTTTACATAGTTAAACATTTCTTACAAAATTGTATTGGTCATTTGTGAAATAATATACTGAAAAAGTCAAGTGATTAATCCGTATATATAATTTTGTAAATTTTTTATACTCCGTATCATTCTTTAAAGGTGTGAATTACATAGTACTACCTCCGTCCCATTTTATAACGTCTGTTTCGGTTTACGATGTTTGACTGAAATTATTTTTAAACCATTTTATATGACAAATGGTATAGAATTAAAAAATAAAAATTACATATTAAAAAACTACATCAAAAGATCTACAAAACTAGTACTGACAATAATATTTTATTTTATCAAATTGCTAACGAAAATAGAGAAAGAAAGTAAATGAAGTTTGACTCTGTGAATAGTAAACAGGCATTATAATTTGGGACGGAGGTAGTACTAAATATCTAGTAAATTAAATAGTACTAAATATCTAGTAAATTAAATAAAAAAATAAATTCAATCAAATATCATAATTCGTATTAAAAAATTGTATGAGAGGAAAATATATTTTTTAAAACTTCAACGATACGGAGTATATCTTATTTTATGTTTATCAATCTAAATTTAATTTATCTTTTTTTCAAATTACTATCCCTAATTCTTATGGGGTCATATGAGATAGGGTTCATCCTTTTGATATAGCCACACCAAACAAAACAAAAGAAAAAACATAAAGAGAAATTGACCAAGCACCTACTTCATTAGACTTAGAGCCCTATATCATCAATTATATACGGTTTATATTTGTTTGAATGATCGAAAATGACCCTTAAATTATTAGGGAGCATAGTATATGGGGTATGGGTGCGTGGGCAAACGGGTACGGGTCTGGCCGAATATTTTACGTTCCGAGTCTAAACGTGTTGATGATTGTGTTACGTGTTACGATGTTGATTGAAATTATTTTCAAATCATTTTATATGAAAAAATCGTTTATTATTAAAATCATAAAAGCCACATATTTAAAACTACATGGAAAAAATCTACGAAACTAAATGTGGCATGACTATATTATTTTATCAAATAGGCAACGAAAATACGCCAACAAAGTGAATAAAGTTTGACTCGATGAATAGTGAACGAGAACATCATTACCCTCTTATAGCCAACTCAACCCAAACCACGGAGATGTAGCTCATTTTGCTAAATCCACATCTAAACAACCAGGAAAAATCGAACTCGGACCGGACCTGCTCTAATACCATGTTAAAATTCCGGCGGGCCGAGAACAACAGGTATGGTTTCATCTTTCTATATATGCTCGTGGTATTCTTCTTTATTTTTAGGTGTCTGAACTCCAACATACACCAAAATGAGATGTTTCAATTGTACACCAAGCAAAAATAAACACACAGAGACACTCAATATTTGTGTATACATAGACATCGAGTGTATGTCATTGTGTATCTGTTTTTGCTTGGTGTATAAATGAGGTACCTCATTATAGCATTATTGAACAAAGTTTACATGATTGCCCTTTATCCTTGAGTCTTACTTATTTGCCATCAAAATTAGCCCTCCAACTCTTTTTTTTCCTATCATTTTTACACAAGGAGATTCCTAGGCACATAGTATTGAGTAGAGTGGGCTTTCCTTTTGTGGTGCTTATTATTGCTCCCTCTCCCCCTTCACTCTTTCTCCCTATAAGAAATATATCTCATCATCAAAAGATTTAAAGAGAATATACATACATTATTATTGTCAAACACTTCTTTTTTCTTCTTCTATTTATATAAATATACTTTCAGAAAAATAAAAATCCAAATGTCTGAAAAAGGGTATGGGATATACAGCAAAGGAAGCAGTGGATGGACATCATTCAAGAAGGAAGAGCTTCAAGAAGGGGATGTTTGGGATGGGTTCCAAGAAAGAGAAGAATTCAGCTCAAGATTGATCACCACTTCTGCACCAGCCAAACATGTCCCAATCCCAATCACCAAATCATCATCCAAGAGCAGAACAGCCTCTGCTCCTGTCCACATACCAGACTGGTCAAGAATCTATGGAGGCTCTTCATATTCTGCAGTGGAGGGTTCTGTGAAGAGCTGGGGAGCTGGCGAAGAAGACGAAGAAGAAGAAGAAGAAGAAGAAGAAGAAGAAATTGAGCCTCCACATGAATGGCTAGCCAAGAAGTATGCAAGGGATCATAAGATTTCTTCCTTCTCTGTTTGTGAAGGGGCTGGAAGGACTTTGAAAGGAAGGGATATTAGCAGAGTTAGGAATGCTGTCTTGACCAAAACTGGTTTTCTTGAGGACTCTAATTAATTAGGTAGTATTCTAGGGGCATATTTGTCTTTCTGTTTTCTCTATGTAATTATTTGCTTTTTCACAAAATGTAATGAAAATGTATGATAGATATCTATGTCTTAACCAGAATAAAATGTTATTTTTTATAGTATGTACCTTGTAAATAGGGGGTGTTTATGTTTTACCATAGGATTTGGTCTATTTTGGGGTACAAATACCTTCTTCCATGGGTGAAAATTATTGATTTCTTGTCTTTATTAAGCACCATCATTATATACAAGATGTGAAAAAACAGCATCAAATTATTGTCTTTAAACATTTTTCTTCTTCCATTAGTTTTTAACTAGTTCAGCTCGTTTTCCATAAAAAAAATATCTGAGTAATAATCGATCTTAAAATATATTAGTAAAAATTATTTAAAATGATATGCTCCATATTAAACGTATTCTTTAATACAATTTTTATGGTGTACTTTTTATATCTTAAATCATTTTAAATTTTTGTCATGAAAAATCAAAATATATCATTATAATAGCTAGCTTGTGTTGTTTATTAACTCATTATATTCTTGTATCCTTTGTCTAAATAGTATAGTGAAATTTGCTTCTTTCCAACCAAATGGACCCTGTATGAATTAGTGCTCCGTTCATATTATAAATGGACCTATATGAAGTAAATATTTTCCTAAAAAGTTATTCATAAAGAAATAAAAAGTACTTCGTATAAATTTTATTTTTAAAACTACATCAAAATTTTAATATATATTTTATTTTATTAAATACTCAATGAATATGCACACATAAACAAAAGTTAATGAAAGTCTAAAACAGCAAACATGATAACTTATTGGTAATGGTTCACGAAATTTGGCAATTCCTCTGTTTTGTAAGAAGTTTTACATTTTCCTCGTTCAAAAAAGATTTATTTTTCACTTTAAAGAAAAGTTTGTATTTCTTAATAATTTTGCCTCGTGCGGCTTCTTTGTTCCTCCACGAAAAGCGTGTGTAGGGGAACTTTAAAAAAGTACATCTGTACATCCATTTTAATAAAAAAAATAAGTAAAATAATTTTTAATAATTAAAACACGTCAAAAATGTTAAAATTGTAGAAAAGAATGACTTGCCAATCACTGTATATGCTATGCCACTTGACTCACTTGCTCCACATTTGGACTATTTTTGTTTGATTTAAAATTTTAATGTACTCCATATTTGTTAATGTGTTTCAATTAACAATAACATTTTAAATTAATATTGAACGGTGTAAATTAATTTTAAAATATTAAGAGTTATCTTTAGATGGTCTTTTTCAATACCTAAACTTTTTAGGCAATTTTCATGTGGTCTTAAAGTTTATATGATGTTATGAACCTTAATGCATTAATATATTAAAAGAATTGAGCATTTGTCAAAAGAAAATTTGTTTACGAGCCATGAAAAGTACGAGAATGTTCATATTTTAAAATAATGTGAAATGGGGCCCATGTCTTGATGCATTTCATTTTCTAATTGGGATTGAGCTCTCTTAAACCGGCAGGAAATTGAATTTCAGCTATGCCAATGGCCCCGAGCCACGCCGCGAAACCCTCTCCTCATCCGCCACCGCCACCGCTCGGGACCTATTACGCCACCCGCCGACCGTGGCGCTCGTTCTTCGACATCTCCGCCCTCTCTCTGCCCTTCGGCTATGGCGAGGCAATGTCCAGGATCCGACACAACGCCAACTATTTCCGGGTCAATTACGCCCTAATCGCACTCGTGATCCTCTTCTGCAGCCTCGTCTACCACCCGATCTCCATCATCGTATTCCTCCTCGCAACCGTCGCCTGGATTTGGCTCTACTTCTTCCGCGAGGCACCCGTAACTGTGTTTGGCCGAATCGTGGATGATCGTGCCCTTTTGGTTTTCCTGATCCTCGTTACGGTGGTGTCTCTGGTTTTCACTCACGTCGGTCTGAATGTGCTCGTCGCATTGATAATTTCTGTGGTTGTGATCGGTTGTCACGCCTCGTTTAGGGGCACTGAGGACTTGTTCTTGGAGGAAAGTGAGGCGGCAGAAGCCGGACTGCTCTCCGTTGTACAGTGAAATTTCAATCTCTTATGAGAATTGGATGGAAGATAATGCATTTCTGTGTCTGTTCTGGCCTGTGGGATTTACAGAGCCTGTTTGGAAATAGCGATAAAGGTTAGTGTTTTGAAAAAACTATCTATGGGCAGCATTTTGCATTAGCGTTTTCAAAGTTAATCGGCGCCGTTGAAATTTTTATTCAAAACACGAATGCTAATCAAAAATGCTATTCTCAAACGGGGTCATAGCTGCTTGAATTGGGTGTATTGTTGCAACTGTTTTGGGAGGTAAATTCAGCTTATGCTGTGAGTGTTGTTTTCTTTCCCTAAAATGTCATGTTTTTGGGTATTTGGGGACATTGCAAGAGCCAAATCCTATGTACAATTTGGGGAAAAAAGCTTTTTGATGGTTATGTTTGTGTGAAACATTTGTACTTTCAGTTTGACATGTTTATTGCTGGTGACCTGTTAGAGACATTTCCTCAATGTGTAGAAACACAAATGAGTGGATGCAGTGTTCATGGGAGAAACATGAAATTTTCTTTTTTCTCCTTTGGCTGATGGGATAGAACTTTTGGAGAAATTCTGTTGTGCCTCTTTAGAGTAAGGCCCCGTTTGGTACATGGAATTCAAACTATGGAATTTGAATTGAGGACAACAATTCAAATTCTGTTGTTTGGTAGCACAAAAGTATGTAGATTTAGAATTGGAGAATTCAATTCCACCCAAATGAATTCCATAAAATTTTAATTCTCAATTCAATTCTCATTCCGTCAATTTCGTATACCAAACAGACCCTAAAAGTAGATTGTGTTTGAATGTTGTTGGAGGCTTCATGGTAAGGCAAATGATGGTAAGGCTTTATGCTTGATTTATTTGAGCTTTTCTCTAGTTGTGTTTATGGTAGGCCATTGCTTCCCTTTGTTAAGGATGCCCTAACTTAGCCATGGCCTTTTCTTTAACATTGCTCGAATGGAATTGCTTCTTGACATCCCCTATTATCCCGACAAGGAAGCTTTCTTTTTCTTTATGATGGGTTGCTAGTTGCGACAATGGGCTAGGCTTGAAATAAATTATTAATTCTAGTGTATTAAAATTCCTTTTATATACTTCTATACTTACATTCCATCACGTCTTATTGCCCTTCGCCAGTCGTCGATCACAAAATACCGACATCAGTGTCCTCCCGCTGAAAAAAAACATTGTCGCAATTATAAATATTCACTGCATTAGCCATCAATGTCACCAATCAATAAATAATGTTCATAAATTTTACAATGTATCATGTATTCATGTCCATACTCTTTACAATATCCCGTATCTGTGAACAATATTTGTTTAATGTCTATCAAAAAGGAAATATAAGCGGACAAATCAAGGAAAGAGGGAATCGATCAAACAGAGAAAAAAATAAAGTCTATATTTTATACGGAGTATAAAATAATTAAGATACATGGGTGTTTTAGTAAATGTATATTATTAATAACTACGGAGTATTTAATTAATTTAATGTTAGTTTTGGGAAAAAAACTTGTTTGGTGTCATTTAGGAAAAAGTGTTAGGTTTTGGTGATACTATGAGCAAATAATTGATAATATAATATAATATGTCACATCTTACAATGTTGGTTATTTTATGTATTTATAAATATAGAATAAAATATTATTTTATCTAATTAATATAAAATATAATTTTATTTAAGTATAGGTCAAAAGTTGAAATAATTAACTGAAAAAGGTTAAAACTAGACAAATATTTTGGGACGGAGGTAGTAATTTGTACTTCGTAAATAACAGCATTCTTCCCATTCTGATTTTTTGGGTCAATGCTTTTAATTTTTGACTCTAAATTATGGAAGAACATACATTGAATTGTCAAATACATCACTTGTTACCTGTGTACTTTTTTGAATCATATTTTAAAAATTAATGGTCAATTACTTCAAATTGTATGTATAAAAATTAATAAAATAAATTTTGAAAATTGCTAACAAGATAAATTTAATGAATTCATTCTTATGCTAATATACATTATACTTCATAATTTTAAAATAATTAAAATTCAAATTTATCTAGTTTAATAAAAATACTTCCTCCGTCCCTAATTTATTTACAAATTAATAGTTACAAGAAAAAATCTCTCTTTTTTAAAATTATTTTATTTAACATTTGGTACATAATAAGAAATAAAAATTATATATTAAAAAACTACGTAAAAAATTCTGCAAAACAAAATGCTATAAAAATATTTTATTTTACTAAATACTTAATAAAATACATAAATGAACAAAAATTATTAAAAATAGATAAAAAGATTATAATCTATTTTGGGTTGAATAGAAAAAAAAGGGGGAGTAATAAAAATGTGAAACCCAACAAAGTAGTAAGGCCAAATAGCTTACATACCCCCTGTGGTTTGGAAAATTAGCACCAATACCCCCTCTGTTTTCAAAACTTATTTCTAAAGTCCCAGTGGTTTCAAAACGTTGCACCAACACCCCCTCCGGTCATTTTCCGGCGAAGAGGGGGCATTGATGCACAATTTCTAAACCATAGGGGGCATTCGTGCTTATTTCTTATTTTTGTTTATTATTCTTCCTTTTTTAAAAATATTTTCTATCTCTTTTTCTTTTTCCTAGATTTTTTAAAAAAAAATATTTTCAATTTTTTATAATGTTTCAAAAATTTTAAAATTTTATGTTTGAAATTTAAAAAAAAATAAAAAAATTAACATACATTAAATCTATCTCAAATTAAACATTTTCACGTTTTGTTGTTTAGAATAATTTTTTGGAAAGTTAAAAAAACCCAGAATAAAAAAATAAAAATATGGAAAAACGAAATGAAAAAAATTTAAAAAACGCAAAAAAAGTCTTATACAAAAAAAAATTAGGCACGTCTAAAAAAGTCCTTAGAATTAATATGTCCAAAAAGGATATTCATTTTTATTTTTGTATTATTTTGTTTCTTATTTTATTCCTCATTTTCTTGAAGTTTTCAAACAAAATTACTTTTTTCAGAAAAAACAAAAATTATTAATTTGAGACGTACATAAGCATTATATGTTAATTTTTTCTAATAAAAGAAACTTTAAAGTTTAAGAAACATTATAAAAATAATTTTAAAAAAACCTTTATTAATAAAAAAAGTAAAAAATGGAAAAAGGAAAAGATATGGAAGAAATAAAAATCAGCATTGATATCCCCCTATGGTTTAAAAAACATGCACCAATGCCCCCCTCTTCGCCGGAAAAATGGCCGGAAAATGATCGGAGGGGGCACAAGTGCAGCATTTTGAAACCACAAGGACTTTTGAAATGAGTTTTAAAAACAGAGAGGGTATTGATTCTTGTTTTGCAAACCACTAGGGGTACCGGTGCTATTTCGCCAAAGTAGCAACACTAATAAATAAAAGAGCTCAGAAGGCGGGAAAGCTACTCCTTCCTCTCCACTTCTTCCTGAAAGCCCTAACCCATTCGTTCCCCTAATCTTTCCCAAAATTCGAAACGATTTTGCAGAAATAGGCTATAGCTCCGGTAAAGATGGAAGCTTTTGATGAAAAGCGATTGAATGATGGGTGTATTGATAGAATTAGCAGATTGCCGGACGAGATTTTAGGCGAGATTTTGTGTCGCCTCACCACCAAAAAAGCGGCGGCCACTTGTATTCTCTCCACGAGGTGGAGGAAGGTTTTCCCGTACAAGGTTCCCCTCACTCAAATCCATCTTGATGACACATAGCTGCTTCGAGGCCCCCAAAGGTACTGCAAATGCTTTGCAGATTTTGTGAGCAGGTTATTCAATGGGAGTTTGCTTGATGATATTGGTGTGGAGAAAGTAGTTCTTCACTGTGAAAAGTATTATGATTATGCAGAGATCTTTTCATGGTTTGGTGCCATTATTCGTCTTAATGTTAAAAAACTTCATCTCATTTTGCCCTACAGCCCGCGAATTTTGGATGGGTTTTTTTCTATTTTTAATGGGTTCGGATCATTAGTGGAGTTGGAGTTTGAAAGTGAATACAATTTGTATGTTCCTGACGATATCGTCCTGCCCAACCTAAAAAAGCTGTCCCTATTTACTATGTCTCTGCCCAGATATGGGTATTCGATTAATGAACTGATTCGTGGTTGTCCAATGCTTGAGGAATTATCGATCGTCGAAGTGAATTTTGGGGGTATGGATAGTATTTACATTCAGTCTGACTTGCTGAAGAAGTTGTGTATTGAGTTCTACAACCGAGAAGATGAATGTACTATAGTGATTGATGCACCGAATCTTGAGTACTTTGTGTATGCTGGGTCTAAAGTTTCCGATTTTGCCATTAAGAGCTTCAAGTCTCTTCATTCAGCTTCACTTGATTTTGACCTGATGGGAGGATTTTCTAACGATTCTTATTCTCGTGAGGCCAAGATTTTTGAAGAATGTTCGATTGCCAATCGCTTGTGTTTGTATGGTGCAGCCGTATTGGTGAGATTACTTTGTCAGTTTTCTTTTCTCTGCCAATCTCCAACTGGATTGTCTTTTATATCCATTTTTGTGTATAGAATGTAACAAAACATTTGCTTATTTCTGGCTGAGAGTCTTTGCTATGCCTGCTTAAGAGTCTTTTGTATCCATTTCGTTCCTTATTTGTCACAGGCACTGGACTCTGTTACCCTGTGTACGTTTCCTAATTTGACATGTTTGGCTCTCGGAAGTGTTGGAAGCTGGTACAAATGCGAAATGCTGGCACATTTTCTTCAGAAAGCACCTAAACTCGAGTCGCTTAAGTTCGAAAAGGTACACACCAATATTTCATCACAAATAGGCAGTAAAGAATGTCATTTTCATCTCAGCCTCATTCCCATTTTAAAAGTTCCAAAGGTAACTGGTTATACTTTGTTTTGTCTCTTCTTTGAAGGAACTCGACGTGCATGCGAGGTGGGATGTTGGGGCCTTTGCAGCATTCGAGTCTGTGCTCCATGAGTTCCCTGTCTGTTTGAAACGATCCTTGAAGAAAATCGAGCTTCTACAACTCCACGGGCACGAAGATGAAATCAAGTTAATAGAGTATTTCTTGAAGAATGGGAGAGTGCTCCAGGAAGTTGTAGTAGTCTATTATCGAAATCCTCTTGATCCCGATATTCTATCAAGATTTTCTGGCTGCCCAAAATGCTCAACAAAATGTCAAGTTCTCTTCAAAGAGGGAGATAACGAGACAGCTTCGTACCCCGACAATCGTAGGCAATGGTTTTGAAAGAGAGCGAGTATGATAGTAACCATTGAATCTTCTTCGATAAAGCTTTGGCGCATTTCTAGAGACCTGGCTACTTCAGACTGCTTGCTGTCTGTACCAAGGTCCAGAGATAATCCACCCCAAACTACTTTACACTGGATGTCTGGATAAAGTACAAATATACCCTTCTAGAAATAAGACTCAGTCGACAAACTGTGCTCGAGAACGGTGGTGTCATTTGTTGAATTTTGGAGTATTAACGTAAAATTGTGATATATATAAATGCCAGAGAGGATGCAAAGACTGAAAAAGCCACCATTTTAAATACTCCGGCATTTACCGGGAACAATGGTGTCATTTGATGAATTTTGGAGTATTAACGTAAAATTGTGTATTCTTTGAAACATTCATCTGATTTTTTCAGAACATTTTTACTCCATATTTTCCTACCTCTTGTGTTCTCGTTTGCAGTTTTGTTGTACTATAATTTATATTACTGTGGTTGTTGTGTCTTCCTTGTGGCAAAGCTGAATTCGCATTGATGTCATATCTTCCAAAATGCTAACGTTAATTGAAATTGTTGTTCTCAGAACAAGACCAAAATTAGATTGCTACTCTCTCTGGTATTTAAGAAAGGTGTTGAAAAGCGAAGAACTTGGTCATAGAGGATTCTTGGACCAATTCTTCATACGAGCTCGAGCTGGATGCTCCGAATCTTGAAGTGTTGTTGCATTCTGATTGCCTCGCTTTGGGGTAAGTCTCTTACTACGGTTCACATTGATGTTGGGCCCAATCAAGAACTGTTTATTTGTGTGTTTTCATTTTGAGAGATCATATATAACTAGTCTGAACTTGTTTTGCCGACTAGTTATGTTCTTTTAAAGTGTTCTCAAGGAGAAAATTAAATTCCTATTAGTTCTCTTTATCTAGTAACAAATTGTCTGACCATATTCCACTTGTTTACAGGCTTTGCTTCGAGCAGAAGCGCGGCTTCCCCCATTCCAGAATCTGACTTGGTTGGCACTTGGATCCCTTCCAGGACTGAATGGATGGGAATTCTTGGCATGCATGCTTCTCAGTGCACCTAATCTTGAAAAGCTCACATTCGAAGAGGTCTGGTTTGTATCTTGAATACCATGTGGATTTGATGCCCATATATCCTTAGTTCAACTCTACGTACACGTATTCCGTTTGTAAAATTGTCCGTCTTTTTTATGGCAGGGATTTACGGAATACAAAGGAGGACATGAGAAATTCGAGTCTTTACTTCCAGAGCCATGAAGAAGATGAATTCAAATTGTTTGATTATCGTCTGAAGAACGGCGTTCTGCAGAAACTGAAGATTTATGATTGCATTCCTTGCAAGGATTCGTGTTTTTTTGGAAAGGTTAGTTGCTTTGACAGATGCCTCCGAGACTTGTGTTCTCTTAGGAATGAAAACAACAACATATGAATGATACTACCTATGCAAAAAAAGAATGTTGTGTTGGTAGATTGTTTTGCTACATAAATATCACATTTTGGTTTCTCAATTGTGCACATACTACTTGAACACAAATATTCAAGACCGGGGACGGAGAAGATCGGGGCAAAGAGTAGTTGAGACCGGTCCGGTCCAAGACCAAGGATCTCATTATGTCCTTGTGCATGTGAAGGAAACGAGGTATCTCGGAGTATACTCTTGCAGTACACTCAGGAGTAATTTTCTGTACTTGTGCATGAGAAGAAAAAGAAAAGAAAAGGTATGTGGGGAGAAAAAAAAGATGGAGAAAAAATAATGGATGTGAAAAAAGTAAGAAAGAAAAATTGAAAATAAAAAAAAAGTTATTTGCCTTCTCTATCAGTCAGTCAGCTGAGCCAAACCACGGGGCCAACATTCAGCCATAACCATTTGAAAGTACAAGCCCTATCCCACAAGGCCCTTTCAGACCCAGTCGAACGGTTATTGAGTATTTAAATTGGACTTTAATCGCAGACTGGTAGCAAAGAGTTGAGTCTGTACCTGGTACTTTAGGCTTTATGCATAGCATTATTGCTTCCCAGCATAGTTGCCGGAAAATAAATTCGGGTCTTATCCCCTTGGCACTCTTTGACTTATCAACTGCGCAACATACACCATACCATTTGAGAGGGTGGGGAAGGGTATTATTATTTGGTTTGACCAATAGCTTAATTAATGGGTTTCATGCCCTTGTGAACAAGACAAGGGCACCGACTTCCTGACACTATCATTGCCTTTCTGAAAAGGGTTCCCCCCCCCCCACCATCTTCCTTTCACACGAAACCCTCCACAATTGAGACGTGTTGGTGATTTAGAGGCTCAAGTTTGCATTCTGAAGGCGACTCTTTAAACTCAATATCTTGAACGTAAAATTAACAGTGACAAAAAATCTCGTTATTCCAATCAATTGTGGCACATTTCGCAATTTACCTCCTCCACTAATCCAATGGGAAGAGATGCGAGAAACCTCTAAAACGGGGTCTCACTTTTTTCCCACGAATAGCGAAACACTTTTTTATTTTAAAGTAACAATCAAAGGCAAAATAGAACACACCGCCTGATTAGACTCGATTTTTATATCAAGAAAATATAATTCAAAACTTAATACAATAACTCTCATATTAAAACTCAAAGCTTGATTATAATATATGTTGTTTTAACTCAACTTGGACAACAAGTAAGCAAATTAATCCTAAGACCATAATTCTATTCTTATTTAAATTAAAATCTTAATGAAAATAGTTGGAGTGTATTAAATAGAGTAAGGTGTAATAAATAAAGTGAAGATAATTGTAATATTTTAAATGTTAACAAAGATAATGAGAAGATCTATAGGGGACAATTAAAAAGTACAAAGTAATGAATATATGGTCTCAAGTTTTTTTCTTTAATCAAATTACTCAATTTCTACTTTTCAATATTGTTCTTAAATTTTGTAAAGTCAAACTGAGATGGTCAATTTAAACGGATGGGATAGTTTTATAATCTCTTTGTCTCAAAGTATTCGTTCGGTTTTGAATTTTGGAGTTAATCACGATAAAGTTTTGACATATAAATAAATGAAAATTATATGTTTCTCCGTATATGGATTAAATAAAAACAATATTTTACAAGATATAACTAATACAACTAATTTTGTATCAAAATTTAGTGCTTGGTATCAATTTTATTCAATTAGTGATCAATGCTTATTAATTTTAACTGAAAAAATCAAAACTGAACAAATAATTTGGGCAGGACCTAGTACTTTAATACTACATTCGTCCCACAAAAAAGTTCCCATTTTGACCATAAATTGGTCAAACTGTTGCACACTTTGACCCTAAATTAAATATAATCTAAATAAAGAAATGCTAAAAAAATTTGAGATATCAAAGTTAGATCCTAAGATGAATCTAATTATATAGAATTTATTCCATAATTCAATATACCTTTCTCAAAATTTATAATCAAAGCGTGTAAATATTTGACTAAATACTATTCAAAATAGGAACTTTTTTGGTGGGATGGAGGAATAATAGTTAAAAAAAGGCCTCCACATTTAAAACTCACTCCGATCCTCTGCCATATTCTGGCCCGGGAGCTCTGGTTCCAGATGGGGTTTGTAGCTTCCGATGGCTCCCGGCTCAAAATCGTAGATTGTTGTCTGAGGCTGGCCGCCGCCGTCCTGGCCGCCGCCGCCGTCGGGCTCGCAGTGAGTGATCGGCAGGCCAACAGCAGCTACGGAGTGCTCCTCAGTTTCGCCCACCTCGGGGCTCTCCGGTAATTTCTATGTTTGGAAAAGTCACTTTGATTTCATTGGACTTGCATAAATGTACATATAAATAAATAAACTCTGGGAATATAATTAAAAAGGTATACGGTGGCTGTGGGCGTTGCATGTGGCGGATATGCACTGTTCACCGCCGTGGCTTTGTGGGTGAGAAGTCTGGTTTCCAAAGCATGGTTCTTCTTTCTCTCTGATCAGGTTGGTACCACCTTCCCTCTCTCTCATTGAAGGAAAAAACTAAGTGTATCTGAAATGTACACCAATTTTTCTCACAGACACACGTACACCCACTGTTTGTGTAAAACACAAAACACAACTGTGTCTGTGGGGGTCTGTGGGTGTTTGTGTGTCTGTGGGAAGGTGGTGTACACCTGGGATATACCACCCACCTTGGAGTACAGCTCAAATCTGAAATCCCCTCATTGAATTCAATTGCCTTCTCTTCAGAAAATTATACAAAAAAGTATTATGAAATGTCAGTATATAGTTTCACATTATCCCAATGTAAACTTTTATTTTGGAATAAAAACATAGTGCTAATATTTTTGCACTTACTTTTTGTTTTACTTCTATTTAGGGTAGTTTATTACTATAAAATTAGTATTAGATATTAACCCAAAATAATTAGCTAGATTCGGTTTTAGGCTTTGGCTTTTCGAACAGAAACCTATCTTAGGTTATGCTTAACATGCGCAGATTATCGCGTACGTGACCGTAACGTCCTTGGGAGCGTTAGCAGAGATCGTTTATTTGGCGTATAACGGCGATGAAGAGGTGACGTGGATGGAAGTGTGCACTTCTTATGGGAAGTTCTGTGGCAGGTTGAAGCTGGTTTTGGCTCTGCTTGCCATTGTCCTCTGCTGTTTTCTCTCTTTAGCTGTGATTTCTGCATTTAGGGTCTTCAGCAGATATGAATATCCCTCTGTTCATTGTGATGAATTTGAGAAGCAAGTGAAATAATGTTAGGCCTTTCCACTATGAGTGTTTGTATGTCAAAAGACCTTTTTTTGAACAATTTTCAATCCAATGTACCTGTGGAAATGTAGTGTTGTTACATCTTTACATGTAATCTTTCTATTTGCACATATCTCACCAATTTTGATCCTTTTCTCCCTTTACAAGAACCACTTCAGAATTGAACCATTAAGCTATTTGTACACCAAAATTTGTACCCTATTTTGTACCCCAAAGGCATGCACCGACATCTTGTGCTAGCGTGATAGTTTACATTGACAAAAAATATCAGTGTAAATTTTTTAAGTGAATTAACATTTTGTGTCAGTGTGAACCGTTAAAATATTGATACATTTCTTTAAGGTACACGCCTAGGCATGGTTGAACTTTCAAATGACATGAGTGGTATTAAGACACCTACCCTTGGTGTCAAAAACTCTTTTTACTTGCAAATAATTATATAAACCACAAAATACAATGTTTTTTAACTTTTTGTAGCCAACTCTTTTTAATTTTTGACTTATAATTAAATAAAATATGTATCGTATATTAATTAGATAAAATAGTGTTTTAAAAGTATTTTATAAAATTTTCTAATACAATTGTTTTTGTATCAATATCTAACTACATTTTTGTTTAATATATGATCAAAATTTGTCAATTTTAATTGAAAAAAATGAACAAATATTTAGTGACAAAAAGAGTATTAGAGTAAACAAAAGTGTGAATAATGCAAAATAGTGTTGCAACAAAATTATTTTTGTTTCAATAAATACTCACATCTAAATGAACCAAATACGGAGTATGAAACAAAATTATGTGTTGTTTTTTAAGTAGACATTATGAGACATGATGTGATTGAGGTTCATTTTACATGGAAAAAAAATACACACAATTCTATCCTTGGAAGCAAGAACAAAACGAGAAAGAAAAAGACAACCCACACAAGCAAACTTCCAAAATCAGCCAACTTGATTAGATTTTAAATAAATGGTGCCATGAAATGAAAGGAAAAACAAATTGCACCCCTAATAAATAAAAAATACCTTGGTTTCTATGATATTGAGTCAAATTTTAAAAATGACACGAGGATCATACCATGATCCGTTCAAAAAATTGATGGTTCCTACCCCTCCTAACCCTCCATCCCGGTAAACCCCCCACCCCCGGCCCAGCTCGAACATATCCCCGCATAGTTGACTTTGGAGTTGACTCCAAAATTATCTAAATCTTGTAGCATGCAATTGACGGGAGTACATGGTATATTTGGGCCAAGCTAGGGTGGAGAGTTTATCAGGGGTTAGAGGGATAAGAACCATCAATTTTTCGAACAGAGCATCGTAGATGCGCTAATCAGGGCTATGCCATAGGATGACATGGGGGTTCATGTCACCCGAACCGCCCCAATAAAAAAGGATAAAAACGGCAAATATGGACAAAGCAAACTGGACAAATAATCTAAAACGCCAGAAATAAAGAACAACAAATATAGAAGAAAGCAAACTTCCTGTGAACAAATGTACAAGAATGCTGATTTCCATTTGGGGGTAACCCCAGATTAATAACCTAAATCCAAATTAACTACAGTATATTATTACAACATTCATCCACCCCTAACTAATGCTTCCCTATTATCCTAATACCTTACCTGATTCCAATTTCCAACCTCAGACTATATATGCTTCCACAATTACGAAAAGACCGTGTTGTCCGAGAACCCCAAACAGGAGACGTGGGACGATGTGTGAATGAATGATATGTAGTTCTAGAAACTACTCTCGAGTGGCTTCATATGATAGTTCTTGAAGAGAACTTGTCACAGTTGCAAGGCTAAGTCTGGGTGTTGAGAATCGACCAAAATGCCTGAAGATGGCCTGCTGGGAGGGGACCCCGCAGACTGAAAAGTAATGTTCAAGTCAGGGGGGGGGACTGATTCCCGGTTCAGTCTTGACTGAATGGCAGAATGTGAATTGAGATTTTGTCGTGGGTGGAATCTAGACGGGTCAATGGGTCCTACAAATTGTGGGAACATCACCGGTCTGTTTGGGACCTGGCCTTCAATCCCTACTACCCCTCTAGCTGTATGTGGCATGAAGGCGTGAAATGGATAGATTCCTTTCCCGGGGAGGAAATGCATCCCAGAAGAGGGACGATATTGTATATTTTGCAGTTGAAAATTGCGAGATGGGTTATACAAGGACTCTGCAGAAATTTGACTCTCGCTGGCTTGTTTAAACCCCCCTGATGCCCCCATTGACATCCAAGCGCGAGCAGCAACTGCAGAAGCATTACTTGAATCACTTGGACCATGTCCTTGTCCATGAGGAAATAGGGTTACACCTTTGTTAACATTATCAGAACCACCAACAGATGAGAGGCGAGTAGCTGCATTGCTATGGCGGCTATTATCTTTCCCTTTTGCATCGAGTAGTTGGGAAGGTGCAGAAGATGATAGATTTCTGTTCTTTGAACCAGCAGGTACTTCAATAATGTTATTAGCCACCTTACTTGGTTCAAAGCTACTTTGGTTGCAGGGTAGAGGTTGAAAATTCAATTCGAACTGCCTTATAAGCTTTTTCTCAGGTTTAATGAAGTTTGGGGAGGGACAGTTTTGAGGATCGTATCGGGGACTAGAAGAATTAGGAGGTTTCTTTCCAGTAATACCGAGGAAAAAAGGTTTGCTTTCAATATTATTCGGAGTGGGAGGTTTAGGACAAACATACTGTTGGTTCACTTCATCCATGCTCTTAGGTTCCATCGTTTCCACCTTCTTCTTCTCAACCTTAACTTTCTGTGTGGACTTGGCCAGAAATGAAGGTTCCTTCAGGGTATGGTTCTTGAGCATCAATACTGGGCTGGGAAGCGGTTCATATTCCCCAATCCAACCGCGACCAAATTTTAACCCAGAAGGGAGTGCTTGTGTGATCCTCCTAGATGCAAATTCCCAGGCAATTGGCCCGAGTGTTGCAGCAAAACAAGCAAGGCTCCTTGCATATGAATGATCAGCATAAAGCCCCACCTGAAAATCCAGAAAAAAATACTATATAAGCATTAAAGTCATGCATTCAATATTATTAACTGTTTAGAGGACAAAAAGTTATTTTCTTCCGAAAAAAGCTTTTGTCAGATGATGAAAAATGATTCTAACCATATAAAAAACTTTTAGTGCTTATTTAAGAAAGCAGCAAATTGGTGCTCTGATCTTCAGAAAAGCACTTTATGAAATTTTAAAATGTGAAGCTACTTATGATTAAAACACATATACCATTAGTTATGCCACAGACCACTAGTCTACTTACAGGAACCAAATGCTTGATTTCTGCTTCAAATGTCGAAAACAATGATTCCGAACTTGTGCAAGCAGATTGAGTTGATATCTCATAAGTTGCACGCCGGTTCTCATCTTGTAGGGCTGACTTTCTTCCACATCTATAGAGATGACCCTTCCCTATTGAAATTTTGTTTTCAAAACAAAGATGATGAATCAAACCCACAGGAAAATAAAATTTTTCCTTACTCCCTCCATTCACCTTTAATTGTCCTTTTTTTTTTTGCTTTTTTGATACTACATACATTGAAAACAGATGATTGTGTATTTGTGTACATAATTTATGAGCACATTTACCCATTCTTCAATGTATAAAAATTAAGCAACAAGGACAATTAAAAGTGAATGGAGAGAGTAGTGCAGAAGATCAAAATAATAAGATATCTGAATTACATATAGAAAGGAGACTGCATTCACCTGAATGTAATTCTTCCCTGTCCAAGTTGTCAGTGGACAAAACATTTCCATCTGTAGGCCCATCAGTGCTGTTTATTCTGCCCGAGGTTCCTGGAAAGGCATTTGAATCATTTTGTGCATCTCCGGCATTCGCGAGGGTTGCACCAGATGAGAAATCGGAGCCAGCAGGTTCTTGCACTGTTCTGCCCACAGGTTTCTTGATATGTCTTTTCACAAGAGGGCTTGATTTTGGCCTCGGATCTGATTTGACCTTTTCTAAGCGCTCTGCACATTCAACATTGACTCGTATTTTCTGAAATTTCCGTGTAGCAAGTTCTTGGATTGAAGAAGCCTATAAAATTTATTGAAAAATAATGACCTGGTGCGAATTAGAAGATGAAACAGAAACATCAAAAGGAAAATGGGTAAAAGAATGATGAAAGACTACCTGTTTGTAATATATGGTATCAGAGTCATTGTATTGCATTGCATTTGAACATATCAAGAAGACATCACTCTGAAACAATAAAAGATTATTTGAATACAATACTAATTTAAAATGCTGAACTTCAAACACATATCTAGAACTATAATTCACTATGATGAAATTATAAAAATTAAAATGGAAACATAGTAATGGGCAGGAACCACCAAAATATTTAAAATATTGGAGAAGCCACAATACAAAAGGATATATAGTTAAAGCACATTTTAGCTGATTCGTTAAGTGTAAAGACTTTGTTAATGCAGAGAAATAAAAGAAATAGAGTAGAAATTTAGTTTCCCAACAATACGGGATCTAGAAATTGACTTTCACTCCAAAGAGCATAAAACCAAATCAGAAACCCATTAAAACAACAGCATATTGCAATATTCACCTCAAACTGTTCCAATGTCGCATACGATCCATTTCTAAGTTTGTTCCTCACGGTTGAGAAGTCCATAGGATGTTCAATCACGTCATGGTAATCCGGAAGCTGCAAATATAACAATCCAACATTCTTAGACACTAAATCCGAGTGATCTAAGTAATAGCCTAAAAAGAAAAGATTGACATTCCCTCACATGACCTCAAACACTTACCTCTTCAGGATCAACCGGTTCTGCATAGACACCATAAATATCTTTCCTGAAATAAAACAATTGTGCAACTGCACATTAATTAACCAACAAAAAGACTTAAAATTTCTTTGAAAATATTAAAGCTTACTTCTGAAGCTTGTCCAGGATTAATTCCAGCATCTTCTTGTCTGGTAGCGGAAACGGGGAGGGACGTCCAGATGGTGTTCCTGTTCAAACGGAACCGTATTCAATTAAGCCATTGCCGGAAACAATGATTTCATGGAAGGACATCAAAACCCAACAAGTAAGAGCTACTAGACCTGGAGAAGATTCAAAACTTCTAGCCTCTGCTTTTCTTCCACATTCCTGTAGAAAGTTTAATGGAAACTTTATAAACCTCCCAGACTAGTCTTAAGCTAAATAAATGCATGCTTGATACAAAGAAAGAGGAAGCATGCCAGCATAAGATAGACAAAGACAAAAGGTAATGGGCAGGGTGATCAGATTCAGTGGGGAATTCCTTTTGACAGTTGAACCCGACAGTTACATATACACTCCCTCTAATCAGTTCCCAAAATAGAACTATGCAGAGTTTTGGGCCACATACAAAACCTATGTGAATTGAACTTCCAGAATTCCAGTCTGTGTATATACATAATCGCTTATGGCTAATTTCATCATGCCTTAGTGATACCATTCATCTATCAGAAAGTTTGAGCATTTCAGCTGAGATTCCAGAAAATTAGTATACCTCGAAGTCATTTTGATTTCCATTTTCGTTATCATCAGCTTCATCACCTTCTTCGTCGTCCTCATTTTCTTCGTATTCATCATCGTGGCGGCGCGAGATTCTTCTTTTCTTAGATGGCTTGCCATCTTCTTCGTCGTCCTCCTCCTCTGATGCTGACGCGGGCTGAGCGTGAGACGAGTGCCGATTCCGGCTGCGAGTCAACTCGTCCTCGCCCTGTAGCTTAAGCAATAGCTCGAGCTTCTTCTCCTTCCGGCCGTCGTCCTCGTCGTCTTCGTCCTCCTCCTCCTCCTCGAAATCCTCGTCGTCGAGGAAATCGTCGAAGTCGAAAGTGTACCTGACATTTCGCCGCCGGCTACTCCGCCGGAGTTCTCCCTCCGTCTCCGCGGCGGCGGCTGCTCGGCGGCTCCCGCCGAGATCCGCCTTGGGGGGGCGGCCTTTCCTCCCCCTCCTCACGATCTGGCCCATCCTTTCTATCTCCACTCCTTTTCTCTCTCTAAAACCCTCAAAACTCTCTCTCTCTCTTCTCCCTAAATTCTCGCCATCGCATTTCTCTCTTTCTCTCTCTTCCTTTTCTCGATTATCATTTTCTCGCTCTGTGTGTTAGTGCGCTTTGCTTTTTTCCATGTAGCATACTGTAGCTTTGGAGTTCCGAGCCTCAGGCTCGGGGTTACACAGTAGACGGCGTTAATATGCAGCCTGATTAATACAGTAACAGAAATGTTAGAAAATGATCTAGTTTAACCCTAAGAGTTTCATTCTTGGATACTGTGCTGGGAGTCAACTATGTTAAACATAAAGTCTTTGCAATTATAGGTACATACTACATTCTTTGTTATCAATCTGCGATTAAAATCTAGTTAGTTTTTAGAACAGAGACAATATTACTAATTTTACCAGGAGATATAAAAAAGAATGTTTATTTGTGTATCAATAACAACTATCGATATGTGTATGTGAAACACTTATATCGTTCGGAGTATAATATAACTTACTTAATACGCCGTAATTGGTATTAGCAATGCTACTATACATGTGATTGTCATTTATCATCGTTGCGAAGAATAAAACTCCACATTATTACAAAGTAGCATAAACATGGGCCGGTTTTGAGCAAGTTTGAGTCTTGATTTTCGTACTCCCTCCGTCCACTTTAATTCTTTCTATTTGACTTTTCACAGTCTTGAATATAAATTTTAAATGTTAATATCTTTATTTTTTAGATAGATATTACATCATTTCGTCTCAGTATTTTCATCTTGTTTTACTTTTTCGAGCCAAACTTAACAAGTTTTAAATTTCAATCAAATAAAAGTTGTAATGTACTCTTTTCGTCCCAAATTAAGTTCTATGTTTACTATCCACGAGATCAAAATTCATACATTTTCTTTTTCTATTTTTCTTACTTATTTGATAAAATAATATAGTCATGTCACCTCTTGCTTTGTAGAACTATTGATGTATTTTTTTAATATGTAAAATTTATTTTTTAATTCTACACCAACTCTCTAATAAATTGTATTGAAAAAAATTCAGTTAAATATTGTAAACTGAAACAACATTTTAAATTGGGACAGAGGGATCATATTAATTTAAAGGGCTTTCATTAAATTTCTCTTTCTAAGAACTCTCCAAAATTTATTTTATTGTATTAATAATTTAATAAGCAATGAGTTTCTCCGGATTGACTTAAAAAATCAATTTTAGTGAATACACTTAAAGGGTGTTTGGGGTTGTATTTAATAACTGCTTAGAAGCTTTTGCTTCAATAAAATATTATTTGTACAGTTTGCCAAAATGATTTTGCTTATAGATTATGGCTTCTCCAAACTAAGATAAGCTCGAGAAGTGCTTTTAACTTTTAAGCAAAGTTAGAAATATTTTCTTTCCGCTTCTACTTAAAACTTCTATTTTTAAGTAATCTACCACACTCCCAAACACCCTCTAAGACGAAGGGAATAATTATCACAAAGGTATACTCCCTCCGTCCCGAAATGAATTACAATTTTTGTTCTTGCCTCTTAATACTTTTTCTTATATGTGTATTTTCATTAATTATTTGATGGGTAATTTATTTAAATATGACTAAAACATAATGACGTTCTTAATATATGACCATTTGTTTTTATTTCTCAATGTAGAACCATTAGTCATTATCTATTAGTCATTATTCAACTAAATGTCCAGCATCACTTGGGCATTATTCTTCTCACTAGACATTATTAAGTCTTATTTAAGGAATAAAAAAGTGTAAGTCCTTCAATGGAAAATGACTTATGTTTTAGTCATATTCGGTGCAAATTTCACTTATATAAATTTTATTATTGGTTTTTTGTAAAAATATTGATACAATTTTTTAATATATAATTTTATTTTTATTGATGTTCTAACTTGAAATAAAATGTTTTTAAAATCTATTCTAATTCTTCCGGATAAATTTCACTCATGGTACTCGAACTTTGAGCGTTATATCATTTCGATACTTAAAATTTGTCACCTATTGTAAAACTACCTAAACTTTGAAAAGAATTTGCACAAGTATCACAAACTAGTTTTTAGAATATTGTCAAGTTACTTTGACCATAATTAAAAATCTGTATTGTTTTTTCACCAATTCCTTTTTCCTTTTCTCACAATTTTTCTTCTATTCCTTTTCCAACATCGTGGAAACGGGAATGTTGAAGAAGAAAGAAGAGAGAATTTGATAAAAAAGAGAAAACAGTGAGGTCAAAATTAAAAAAAATATAAATATACAGAATATAACATTGTAATTACGTCCAAAGTGATTTGACCGTAACCTAAAAAGTAAAAACCAGCTCCAAGTACTTTTGTTAGACTTCTTCAAAGTTCATGTATTTTGCGATAGAAAATAAATTTAGGTACCAAAATGATATATCGCTCAAAATTTAGATATCATCTGTAAAATTTACCATGTCATCCACTTATTACGTACTATAGGGGTGCTTTTATGAGTTTTATCTAAACTTAAGACAACTCTCGCTTGTTTTTAAAAGAAATTTATGAAAATTAAAAGTTTTCCGTAAAATATTTTTGTAGACTGATGAAGTGTGAAAAGGTCCATATGAAATACGGAGTACTCTATTTTCTAAGATGCACCTATTGGCCTAATAAGTACTCCTTCCATCTCATATATTTCTTTCTGTTGCGTAAAACTAAATCAAAAGTTTAACAAAACAAGTGGTGACAAGAATATTTTATTTTATCATATAGGACATAAAGAAATGTAAATAAATAAAAGTTTCCGTGAAATTGAAATAGTACTCTGTGAAGAAAAATATGGGACATAAAAGTACTCCGTAATTAATAAGGGAATAATTAAGTCAAAAAGTTAGAGTAAATATATTGGGCTTCAAACCATGTAACACTAATACTCTTTCTATTATTGGATGACTTTTCTAGTATTATCATCAAACATTGACAAGGTTAGCCTATATCATGAGTTTTTAATAAGCTCTCTAAATTCTCCAAGTCTCCCATAAGTATGTCTAATCATCAAATTCTTGTCAAACTAGCTTTTATTTTTAAATATACATTTCCATTTATCATTTGTTAAAAAGTATATATTATCTCACGCTTTACTTTGTAGAGTATTTGTAGTGATTTTTTAATATATATTTCTTCATTTTAAATTATTTTTTCTACTTTGAATAACGGGTAAAATTTCATATAAAAAAATTATAGTTACATAATACTACTAAAATAAAAAAATACAACTTACATACTTAAGACTATATCAAATTCTAAAAAACAAGCGATGCAAGAATATTTTTTATCAAATAACCAAAATAATCGCACGTAAAGAAAATTATTGAATACCTAAACTAGTAAGAGGAAGATGTTTTTTTAGAACGAAAGGAGTAATTTTTATTAATTCTACATAAACATTGAAATAAATTCCATAAAAAAATCAACCTTCATCGCAAAAGTAACGAGGGCACATGGAGTTTTTTAAGAGTAATTTCATATATATTTCTTTATAATATATGCTTTTCATATTTAGTCTTTAATTTTATGATATTATATTTGCAATTCCCAATTTTTAAAATCATTCCATAATTAAGCTTTTAAGTCAAATATAATAGATTATGAAATAAAGAATAGTTTTCAAAATTTGAGGACTAAAAATATACGTGTAATTTTTTTAATTGATTGTTATGAAATTTATTACATTGTATTTGTTCAGTTTAATTTTTTCAAGTCAAATTAGACAAATTTTAAATTTCAATTACTCTCAATTTGTCTCGTATATTAGTATAATGACATATAATCTTTTAATGAAAATGAGAAGATCACATGCACCTATAACCAGAGGCAAGTAATGAAATTTTTTAATATGATAAACCTAATTAAATCATTTTTATACTAAAGTACTTTACAATTTGAGAATAATTAAAATTTAAAGTTTAGAAAAAATCTTTAATTATGTTTACAATTCAAGAAAATTTGAATAACGTGGCGGTAGGCTCCTCTGCGTTGAGGAGATTGAGCTCCCTATTTTCTCCTCCCTTGCATCAATGGACAAACTGGCAAAACTTGTGACCCAAATAGCCAACACTCCACCCTCTCAGAGCCTATCCACCCTATCGCCGCTCCACCTCTCTCTGATCCCATTTCTGTCCCTCGCCTCCGCCCTCTACCGACCGGCACTCCACTGCCGGCGACTTCTCTACCGACTTGGGATCTTACGCCAGCACAGGTATTCTCTCAGATTATCTGTTCGCTCGATTTTTTTTGTTTTGTTTTTCGAATAGTCTGCTTGAATTTGTTTTGGTTTGTTTTGGAAGGTTGCCGGTGCCGGTGATTAGCGTCGGGAATTTGACCTGGGGAGGCAATGGCAAGACTCCGATGGTTGAGTTCATCGCTCGTTTGCTGGTTGATTCCCGAATTCCGCCTCTTATTCTCACTAGGGTACTCGATCTCCTTAATTCATGCCCATATGCTCTATATTAGGGTTCCGGTGAATGTGCAATTAAGCTTAGGGGGTGTTTCAGTGGTGTGGTAGCTCCTTGCAAAATGATTGATAAGTCAGAAGACAGAAGCTTTGTTGAAAAGTACTTCTCTCAAGTTACAATCTATAAACCAAAACAGATTATCGAACACTCCAAATATTTTAGTGAAGTAGAAGCTCTAAAGTTATGTTGAAACACAATACAGATATACCATACACTCTCTCAGTACTACTCTCTACTAAGATCATATGAACCCAACTTTTTTGCAGGGTTATGGTGGTGCAGATGAGGTTAAGATGCTTGAGAGGCATCTTCAGGGGACGACTGCTAAGATAGGTGTTGGTGCGAACAGGGCTGCAGTTGCTTCCGAATTCTTCCAGAGATATGGTTATATGTGTCGTGAGAAGCTCTCGTCTGAAAATAGTAATTGTGCAAATTCTTATGGAGATCAAATTGGTGCTGCCATCTTAGATGACGGAATGCAGGTAGGTCGATGAATTTATATCATCCATTGCCCGCCATTTTCCTAGTCCTGTATATTTCCAGTTTATTTTGAGATGCTTACTGTCACAAGTATGGACAGTGATCTTTTAGGGTCCATTTAGAATTCAGAAAATGGGGATGAAGATGAAGGGTAAAATTGGAAAGGAAGAAAATGTCAAGGGAAATAGAAATCGTCTTGTACTCCACAAGTTAATTTTAGACAGTTGTTCAAACTCATTCTATTACTCTGTGCTATATATTTCTGTTTTATAAATTCTATGAAACCTAAATATGTGGTAAAAGTTTTTATCGAATTTGGTTATCCTTCATATTTTTTAAGGTAAAAGCAAACATTTAATCCTTTGCATTTTTTCTTCATTTTCCCACAATTTTTGATTTCTAAACACAGCTTCCATCTCTCTGATTTAATGTCCAGCTTTTTATATGACTTATATACGCTGAGAACTTTAGAAGCAATGCCTTATTCAATCAAGCATTTCAGATAACATCTTTTATAATACCTTTGCATATTACTAAAAATGATGTTTAAACATAAATGTTGTTCATAATGTCTGGCTAGTTAGTTAAAGGCAAGGCTATTCCTGATGCTTTTGTGTTATCAAAATTGAAAGGCAGCATCTTAGTTTGGAGCGTGACATAGAGATCGTAATGGTGAATGCAATGGTGCCTTGGGGAAACCATCATTTACTTCCTCTCGGACCTTTAAGAGAACCATTTTCAGCCCTTAACCGTGCTGATGTTGTTGTAGTCCACCATGCAGACATGGTACTGATTTTTGATGATTTTGAAGTGCTTTCTTAATGTTTATAAATATGAAATAACTGCAATAATGGGTTATTGACTGAACAAATCTTGCAGGTATCAAAGCACGATATTGAAGCCATAGAGGCAATGGTTCGAAAATATAATGAATTGGTTCCAATATTCTTCAGCATGCTGGCTTCTTTGCACTTCATGAAAGTAGGAAACATATCGTACAAATTGTCTTTGAAGGACATATCTCATACAATCCTCTTATGTGTCTCTGCCATTGGGTTTGCTGATTCTTTTGTGCGGAGGATTGAGAAGGTTTTTTCTCTCACTGCACTGCTCTTTCCAGATTTAACACATTTACTTTGAGCTCACAACAACACTCCCAACATTATTGACAGGGAAAATCACTTTTGGTCCTTCAATTATTCCTGATTATGCAATGTAGTCTCTCATTGTCATTTCAGTGAAATCTAGTCCCTCAATTATTTCAAACATTGCCAACTAAGGTGATGATTTGTTCACCTCTTTTTTTCTAATAACAAAATAACAACACCACCATCACCACCAACAATTGAGCTTTAAATCCCACTAGGTGGGATCAGCCCCATGGATCACACGATGCCATTGTGCTTTATTGAAAACCAAATGTTTTGATATGTTATCAAGTACAACTGTACAAGGTCATTTTTTTCTTATTACTTGTTTTTTATTTTAATTAGATCACACAAGAGTGACAATACCATGAACATTGAGACCAGAACGGTTCACATAAGACGAAGCCAGACTAGAACAAAGGTTATATTTCATACCAGAAAATTAGGGAAATCCAGAAACATTTACAAGACCAGATCTAAGAAAAATATTCTTAGGCAAACCCCTGGAATGATTCAACTTGGGCATTTTTCTCAATATCATTGAAGCATGTGTATCCTTTTCTGTTGTTTTCTCAATAATGGTGTTAGCATTAGGATGCGAGAGATTTAATTTTCAATATTTAAATGATTGAGGAACTGAATTGCGCCACATCGACAATGATGGGTTGCATTGCAGAATCCGGTTCAATTGAAGGATCCAAAGAGCAGTTTTCCTTTATTTGAATAGAGATTCTTGGCTTCTCTCAGATGGGACCAATGCATGTTGATAGACTGGACTTCAGTGACCACCATCCTTTTCAACCCAAGGTTAAGGGTTTAATCTCTTTGTAATCTCCCTTGGATTCCATTTCCCGTGTTTTATTTGCACATAATCAAATGCAAAATTCATCATTCTTTGATCCCCAAATATTTTCCTTGATTTTTTTTATTTAGTCCCGTATTTGTGTTGATGAGCTGTGCAGACATTTGTTTCTTAATATCTGTAGGATATTGACAGGATAAAAAAGAGACTACAAAAACTGCAATCTGAATTTTCTGCAGTTCCAATTATGGTGATAACTGAGAAGGTGAGCTTATCAAAGCATACCAATTGTATTTAAGTTCTTTGCAGTAAGATGCAACTCCAAAGCTGACTATAGCTGGTGCTAGAGTTTTATTTCCCTTCGAAACATATTTCCTCTAGGATCTGTTTGAGAACATCATAGATTAGCCTGGAGTGGAAGTCTTTGAAAGCCTTATTCTCTATCCTAATGAACAAATACAACAACACAGTATAATACCAATCTGGTGGTCAAAGATGTATGAAGACTCACCTTCCAAAAAAGTTAAAAAAAAACATAGACTATTTTGTAGAGGCTTGGTGCCTTGATCCCAAACCTTCATTGAAAGTAACAAGCAAATGAAGTTTAATGTGCCATTTTGATTTAGTCCATTATATATCCGAAGCAATAGCATTGTCAATCATGACTTTTAGCTCCATTGACAATGGACACGTAACAACAACAACATTACCCCAGTGCCGGACGGCTCCCGCCCATTGCGGGGTAAGGGGGGTCGGATGTACGCAGTTTGACCCCTATGTTTAAAACATAGAGCGACTGTTTCCAGATGACCCATGATGAGCGTCGAAAATTGCATTGACTAACTACACAATTGACAATGGACACACAATCCTAATAAATAAACGATGGTTAAATGTTATAGGATTATGATTTTACTAATTTTTAGATACTCTTAAATATAAATATCACGATGTTCCTTTCCGCTTTTCCTCTAAAACCAAGCACCCCAAAGGCTTCCCTTCCAAACCCAAAATCCCAACTCCCAAGCTAACCCTTAGAGTCACCCTTGTGTTTAACAGGACTATTATAGAGATCCCAAGCTTTTTGAACATCTGGATTATGAAGTACATGTGCTCTGTTCGCGCTTACAAATTCTGCCTTTTAATGGATGCGAAGACAGCTTCACGAAATGCTTGATGCAGCATCTGGAATTGCGATTATCGGTGTGATAATGCAATCTAAAAGAGGTTAGACAGTTGTCTAAAATAAATTTATAGGCCCTATTTGGGGGGCAATGTTTTCAATTAGTGTTAATTTCATGTATTTTTTAATGGTGCAGATTAACTTGGCAAATCTTAAAGTTAAGCACTGCCATTAGTGTCTTTAAAACACTAACACTAAGCACGTTGAAGTTGATGCCAAATGGGCACTTAGAGCTCTTTAGTGGTAATGCACACTTTCGTATTTTGAGAGTGTAATTAGAGTGTGATTGCACCCAATCTTGTCCCCATTGTTGTGTTACATAATTAAACTCTGCTCACACACTAATTTAACTCTATTATCTTTTAAATTATTTTTTGGCTTTTAAAATTTCACCATTTTTTGGCTTTGGGGTGTGATAGAATAAATCAAAATGGATCTCTAAACTGTCTGCGCTTAGTCAAGCAATGCAACTTTCGACGTTGAGCCAGGGGTCTCTTTGGAAATAGCATCTCTACTTTCGAGTAGGGGCAAAGTCTGCGTACACACACTCTTGTGGGATTTAACTGGGTTGTTGTTGTTGTTTTGTTGTTGTTATCTTTTAAATTATTTTTTATCCCATGTTTGGTATTGACATATACTCCCTCCGTCCTATGAAACCTTTCTCATTTCTTTTTTTATCCGTCCCACAAAACACTTCTCATTTCTATTAAAAAGTCACTTTTACCTCTTACTTTTTCATACCCTAATTATCACATTATACCTTTTTACTAATAATCTATCCATCAAATCATACTTTTACCCATCACATCAAAGGACATTTTTGGAAATTCAATACCAAAATACACTCCCTTAAATCCCTCCTAAAAAGCAAAAGTCCCATTTTTCATGGGACGGAGGGAGTACATTTTAAGATTTTGAAAGAAAATACTTGTATATTTTAAAACAAAATATAGTTTTATTTGGTTTAATTTTCAACTCCATAATAAGTGTAAAGTATGTGTCATATAAATCTTTTTTAAACATAGAGTATAAGATATAATATCTTTTTTGAAATAAAAGCTACTCCCTCCGTCCTAAATTATAATGCCTGTTTACTATTTACAGGGTCAAACTTTTACTTTCTTTCTCTATTTTCGTTAGCAATTTGATAAAATAAAATATTCTTGTCAGTACTAGTTTTGTAGATCTTTTGATGTAGTTTTTTAATATGTAATTTTTATTTTTTTAATTCTATACCATTTGTCATATAAAATGGTTTGAAAATAATTTCAGTCAAACATCGTAAACCAAAACAGGCGTTATAAAATGGGACGGAGGTAGTACGTTTTAATAATGATAATACTTATTACTACATTTTTATACGTAGTAAAGTTTTGTTTTTGAAAACTTGTAAAAAGAAAAATATACTCTCCATTCTCCAATATACTCTTTGCGCTTCAAGTTATTTGTCCTACTTTATTTTTTACGAGAATAAAACTTTGACCATAAATTGAGATAAAAATATATTTGATTATAATGTAAATTTAATACAACTAGATAAGAAATCACCTTAAATATAAATAAAACATAGAGAAAGCATCAGCATAAGAGTTTATGTTTTTATCCACTAAATACGAGTTCACATTGTGGTAACGTAATACTGTACATGTATATTTTACTATATTTTTTAGTAACGTACATGGTCATGATTGGTAATGTAAATGCATTTTAACTCTTATTTTTTCCCTAATTTGATTTCATTTAAGACGTATTTTTTTTTTTTGAAAGAATTTAAGACGTAGTTGTAATGTCTAGTATATCAATTTTATATACGAGTAACTTTCATCTATTTAAAATTATATTTAAATTGTAACTAATGTTAACTTAAAAATACAAATAATTTGGAACGGATCAAATACTCCCTATAAAAGCATTGAAAAGACGCTTTAAAACCTTAACCAGTGACTCCAGGAGTAATTGAGGAGGGGTAGATCTGGAATTTTAAATAAGGCTTTTACGGTCTGAGCTCCGTCTTCTCCCCCGTTAACGAACACGATGGTCCGCTGCTTATTATCGGTCCAAGGCGATGAAGCCGCAGTCCAGGTCTCTGATTCTCCGTGCCGCCCCTTTCTTGGCGTCCCGGACCCGCCAAAATGCCGCGCTCCCTCGTTCTAGATCTTCTTCATCCTCTGCTACGCCGGAACAGCAGCCGGAGCTCAAATCTCAGAGCGATTCCGTTTTCATGACTGAGAATTGCGTCCGGGTATGCGAAATCTTTTCATTGCTCCTTTTTCCGGACAAATTTCATTTTATTTCGTGTGATTGTTTCATTTCCTTGTCGGTATTGTGTGTAATTGATGTTCCTCCTTTTTTTCATTATCATGCACAAAAATCAAGAGGTCTAATTTGACTTGATTATAGGGTTGTGATATGAGAAATTGAGTTGGACAGTTTCCTGGCCATTTGAATTCATGCTGGAGAATTTTGTAGCATAGAAAAAGGTTCAATCATTTTAGCTAATTAGTTGTGTTTAGCCGAAGAGCCGCGGAAGGGCCAATTTAGTTGGTTGAATTGGTGTACTCAAGTCATGTTACAACTGTGCGTGCCCTCACCCCAACCCCGCATTAGTATGATATTGTACGCTCTGGGTCAAGTCCTCACATATTTGTTTTTTAGCATCTCTCTAATGAAGTTGGGTGAACCATTAAATATTGGTTCTCTTCTTCTTTCTTTTTTTCCGGTGTGGGACTAAGTTGCATTCCCAACAAGTCATTAAGCTCAAATGCTCTTTCTCCTGATTTTATGGTATGGATTTGGTCGTGTTCTGCTTCAAAGGCAATTGGCTCCCTCATATAGAGTAACGTAGTTCTCAAAATCTGCGTCCAAAATTCTTTACTTTGCATGATTCTAATAGTACAACATCAACACCACCACCAACCAAGCATAATCCCAACTCCGTTTGGGTATGGAGAAATCTTACCTCTGTAAAAAAGGGGATTGTTTTTGTTGGACCCGTGACGCATTGCTGCATTAATGATTCTGATAATGAAGTTCAAATTTTTCAAATGTTTTGCATGATATTAGAGAATGAAGGAGTTGCAAGCCAGTGAGCCCGATGAAAAGATGCTTCGCTTAAGCATCGAAGCTGGTGGCTGCTCTGGGTTTCAGTATGAATTCTCCCTAGATGGCAACGCAAATGCAGACGATAGGTACTATCTTGCACCCGAGCTTCTGAGGTTATACTTGTTTTGTAGTTTCCCACAAATAACTGCTTCCCCCATCACTTCCATCGCCCTAATGATGTGTTTACGGAAGCTATTTTGGGCAATTTCAATGTTAAACATATTCTTCCATATCATTTAGCCTGCTGTCACGTATTCAATTTTTTTGTTAAACGCTGATCTTTCTTCTGTTTTCCGAATTTCGAATGTGTAGAATTTTTGAGAAGGACGGGGTTAAACTTGTGGTCGATAATATCTCATTTGATTTTATCAAAGGTGCAACAGTTGATTACGTAGAGGAGCTCATCCGTTCTGCTTTTCAGGTTTGTAACTTGAATCAACTGCCAATGCATCATCTGGCACCATTGTTGAACCAAAACCAGTAAATCTTACAGTAAATTTTTACTTAGCCTCTCATTGATGTGCAGGTATCTACAAACCCAAGTGCAGTGGGTGGATGTAGCTGTAAAAGCTCTTTTATGGTGAAACAGTAAATGTATACTCTCTCTCTCTCAATAAGGTGTGCATCTGCCTTTATAAACCTGCATTTGAGTCCACAAACTTGGATAAAAGGAGCCTTCTGAACTTCAACAGTTAGGGATTATATATGTACTCCCTCTCTCTTAGAAAAAAAGTTTTTTTTATTCGGTTTATTTACGATGTTTCACTAAAACTATTTTTTATTGAACTTATTTGAAAATGAGTGTATATATTAAAAAGAAATAGAACCATCTTTCACTTTACTATTACTCCAAGAAGAGGAGATGCCTTGAGCTTCTCTTTAGTGCTGCCTGAATAGAGGCAGAAATAGAATCATCTTTATCTAATGCAATTGCCAATTAGCAATCTTTTTTACAATTTTATGATTAAGTAGAGGGTTCCCTCTGAAGCAAAATAGATTACTGTCCTTGCAAAGCAACTGAATAAAAAAAAGGTAAGGGCGTGTTTGGTGAGCGTAAGAGATATTAGTACTTTTTTTTAGTGTTTTGTGAAGCCTAAATAGGTTTCGGATTTGATATCGTCAGATATCAAAACTTTCTTCTAAAAGAGAGTTTTGATATTTCTTGAACTTTTGGAAGATATCAATAATATTAATATGGGGGCTTTGAAATCTCCCTCAACCGTCGATCATCCGGCTACCACCATCTTCTTTCACACGCGTCCGTTCAGTTTTCATTGTCAGCCACTCCCGTGAATTTCTTAAAATATTATCATTTCGATTTGAAAATCTATATCATTTCTTTTTTAATTTTAAAACTCATATCTCATCAATTCTACAAAACTCACCAAACATACCGCAAATGTGGGCATGGAGCGATTCGTTCATTTTTCATTGTCAGTCGCTTTCGTGAATTTCTTAATATATTTTAATTTCGCCTTCAAATACTAGAAGTCTAAAACACATGTTGGAGCGTAATAATGGATTTAGCAAATACTAATATATAGTAAAAATATGGACACATTTCTTAACCAAAAGGCAAGTAACATGATTAATTAATTACTTGCGCACATGATTAACCCAAAGTAAATATTGGAATTTGTACATTTCTTAACCAAAAGACTTACTTTTATAAAAAATTTATACTTCCGTACTATGTGGTTATTTTTCACATCAATTTTCTCACAAATTTTAATTATTATATTTCACCTCCCTTAAACTCCATATAAAAAAACAAATGGGAAGATTAAATAATATTCACATGGGTGCATTCCATTTTCTTTTTATTTGCTTCAATGTCAGGTATTCTCTGGTATTTCCACATTGAGACTAATCAATTTTTTGTCATTAAAATTAGGAGTAAGAGATAAATCTCTGTTCTTATCATGTCTGATTTTTTTCAAATGTTGTCACATAATAATAAATGTAATCTGCTATTATATGTGTGTGACAATATTTTAAAATTGGAACACAAAGGCATGATAACAATTTTATCAAGGAATATGCTTTTGGCATTAGGACCGCCCAATTGCACCAAACTAAGAGGTTTCTTCAATATTCTTTCCTTCAATGCAAGCAGTTTATAGGCATATTAACATTATATATAGTCCCATTCCATAGAAACTCTAACATATTAAATACATTCCTATAAACTATATATGTTTGCAAACCATTTTTGAGTGGTTTCACATTATAATAGATAGATATAAATAAGTTAAAACAAATCAATTAAAATGATTCTACCATTATATGCTTTGGTATTCTTAGAAGGGATGACAATAATTTTACTGTTTCATAGTCCTTTGAGAAAGCCACTGGTCAAATTATTAGACAGGTTAAAGAAAGGGAAGGGCCCAATCATTGCTAATTCTGTGTTTGGGACATTATTTATGATCTTAATCTCCATTTTCTACAACATGTCAAAAATGAGGACCACTAATCATCTTCTTATTCTTCCTAATTATCTCCTCGAAGCCTCTTTCTTAGGTACGTTAACGTATATACTTGATCGACTCACTTTATTATTTTTAGTCACATTTTTTTGTCTTTGTTTACTTATTTCCAATTCCTTAATCATTTGTTTAAATGATATGAAGTATGATATATTCATACGGAGTATCACTTTTTATTTTATAAAAGTTTAATTAGCTTGTTGTGGAGTAACATATAAATTTTATTTTATAATTTTAAAACATTATTTAAATAAATTATGTTAAAAGTGATTTTAGTCAATCATCCTAAACAAATTAGGATCATGAAGGGAGTGTATACATATAATCATATCATTCCCTTCCCTGTCTTGTGAAAATTATGTATACCTACTATTCATGCATCAAATTATTTCATTTTTTTAAAATATACTTTCATCTACCATTTGATAAAGTTATTGAAAGTAAGATTTCATTCCAATTCTTCAGATATGGGTATACAATTATTGAGTTTTGAAGTGACTTGGAGAAAATCAGACTCATTTCTATTTTTCAATTTGCAAACATATAAATTGAGTGAAATTTTGAATTTAGAATTCAAATTTAAGTTCTTGAACAGGCCATAAAATCATTTTAGGTGCATTTTTTGTGTTGCTAGTAACTATTCAATATTGTTAAGAATAACTAATCCAATAATATATTTTTGATAATATACACTGCAGGATTTTCTCTATTCCTGGCGATAGTTATTAGCTGGACTCGCGATGCTCTAGAAGAACTACATAACCTACACAAAAGTTTGGAGATTGCAACAAAAAAATTAAAATAAATTCTCCCATAATAGTAAATAAAACTCATTATGTATATATTGCTTTTCATATTAAAACTGTAGTAGTAGCACTAATAACCGGAGACATATATCCATTTGTACATATGTATATTTATTGACTTTGAAGTGATCTGTTATACGGAGTATTAATATTCGATGTCTTGTACTAAATTTATGTTTTAAAATAAAAATAAATTGGTGGAATTCAAATGACACCGGAGTACGGTGACACTACACTCCGATGTCACTGTCATTTTGGGCGAGTGTCATCCGTTGACACTAGATTCCAATATCAATGGAACCCCACCCAAAATAAATATTTATATGCGGAGGTCAGCTAAAGTTACAACAAGTAGTGTTTTACAGCACATAAATGACATTCATATATCCTCCCAAAATTTCATAACAATCTGAACCAATTTGGCCACTGAAATCAGAGAAAAACAAAACCAAAGTGATATTTAGCTCTAAAACTTGTGAAAACAAGAACCGTATCGGTTTCGGATTGTTATGAAATGTTGGGAAGATAATGGATATGCCAATATCTTCCAATGATGCGGTGGGTTTTGTATAAAAACAATCCTAGCAAGAGATCAATGTTGTAAATGTGTTGCAACACACGAAAGTAATAAAGCGAACGATGGAAAACTACCTTCTCGTTTCAATCAACATGGCACGTATCTTGGCCTTGAGATCATCCGGAGGTTGAGAAGCTGATATTTGTTGTGGACTAGAAACGTCAATAGAGGCTTCTCTGCTTCTTGTAATGGCACCACCCCCAAGACTTCCTTTGGATTGATCCGATACTTTGCCGCCCCCACTGATCTCTCCTTCCTCTAGGTCTTCTCTTTCAACAATACTCGAACCTCTTTTTGACCGTTCATGTCTGCTTCTGTGATGCGAGGAATGGTGAGATCTGTGCTTCTTTCTACTGTGTCTATGATATTTCCCTTCTCCATCATCGCCATCATGTTTATTATGGGATCGATGCTTCTTTCTCAAGTGTCTATCATCATCATCCTCATCATCATGTTTATTATGGGATCGATGCTTCTTTCTGGAGTGTCTATCATCATCATCATCACCACCACCATCATGTTCCTTATGGGATCGATGCTTCTTTCTGGAGTGTCTATCATCATAGTTGTCTTCATTATCATCATCATCATGTCTATTATGGGATCGATGCTTCTTTCTGGAGTGTCTATCATCATCATCATCATCATCATCATCATCATCATCATCATCATCATCATGTTTATTATGGGATCGATGATTTTTGCTGGAGTGTCTATGCCTGCTCCTTTCCTCTTCGTATACGTCAGAAGCCTCATCTTCATTTGATTGATGTGACTGGTGATGCTTCTTCCTCTTGGAACGGTTGTGATCTTTCGCGTCTTCACTTTCTTCTCCTTTCTCATCATCCATTGGGCTCTGTTCGACCCCATGAATGCAATGGGAAGTAAATATGAAGGCAAATTAGAAGATAATAACACTCAAGGGAAAATAATAATAATAATAATAATAATAATAATAATAATAAATATTCAGGATCAGTAATTTTTGTTTTAGATAAATGTTCAAACACTTCTTTTTTACTTATCTCTATCATAAAAGACTAAGAAATCAATTTTAAACAATCACCATCATTTTTCAGTGCCTATTTGTTAAACTCAATTTCGGGCGAAAATGTCAAAGACTATTCATCCAAAGTATTTTGCTAGTAAGCAGATTATCCTTTGAATTTTCCAAGGTAAACGCGAACATGTACAAGTAATTTGTTTTCCTTTTCCAAAATTCAAGCATACCCTTAAAGATTTGTGGTCTGTCCCGGCAGACTGATGTTTCCTTTTTACTCCATCTTCATCCTCTTCGTCAATCCCAGATCTTGACCTGTACTTTCTCATTGACCGCTTCTCATTGTATTCATCTATGAACTTCAGCCTTCCATCTTGGTCTGACTTATTATCATTTAATTGACCAGAATCCTGAGGTTCTAATGACACCTCACGTGAAGGCTCGCTTTTAAAGGGAGCAGCCTTGTTTTTCAACATGGCCACAAACATTTTAGCCTTCTTTCGTCTCTCTGCTTTCAACATCTGTTCCTTAGATAACTTTGATTCAGAAGAATTAGCTTCTGCATTAGATTTAGCATTCACATCAGTTTTTGAGAATATTCCTATATTAGGATTCTTGATACCCCTAGCAGCAGCTTGAAGAATGGCTGCAACAGAAGCAGCATCTAAATTGAACCCGTTCTCTTGCTGTGGAACTTTATTCAATTGTTCTTGTGGTTCCTTCTTTGATTTCCCAATCACCATCTTAAACTTCTCCTTATCATTTTCACAAGGCAGGTCTCCATCACCAGATCGACAAGCTAGAGCATTGCCACCCTTAGAGAGTGATGCTCTCTTTTCTTGTGGTCGCCCAATTGAATCATCTCTCCCAGACGGGAAGCTCTTGCCACTGACTTTTGACTGTAACAAAATAGGATAAATATTGTTTAGATTGGAGAGAAAAGTAACTTCAAAAAAAAGGGTTTAGAATAACATCAAGGTTAGTTTTTTAATAATCTATGCTACCAAATTGCTAATCCTGGATTTTACATGCCTAAAACCCATTAAAGAGTCAAATCGAATTTGATCTTAATATTGCCTTCAGGTACCACTCCTTGGCAAGAGAGATAGTGCATTATGTTCATATTCATAAACAAATTAGATGAACAAGGTTGTGTTCATTAAATGACATCAGAGCCAGATATATAACACTTGTAAAGCTATGTTGATGCAAATAACCAAATGACCACAAACAGCCCCAGTTCCAATCAAAATTAATATATTAACTTGAGTAAAACACCTCCATGCAAATTGGAATGCATAAATTTGTAATAGTACCAGATGTATTAATGCAACCCAAATGTGAGGTGAGAGTCAAATCTTTTTTACATAGATGTTAAAGAGAGAGAGAGAGAGGGACATCACCTCTTGGGAATCGTGGAGAACTTTCAGATAGTAGGGATGATACATGTTGGATGGGAGGAGAAATGGAAACCGTCCATGCTTACTATCTTGTTCTACAAGTGTTGCCTCAAACTGCTTCCCATTCTTCAGTATGAATTCAACAATCCTTCCAATCAATTTCTTCAAATCAGATGGAGGCTCTACAACTACAGGTTCATTCTTTATGATAACTCCAAGGCCAGAAGCCTTGAGCTTCTCTAAAGCTGCCTGAATAGAGGCAGAAATAGAATCATCTTTCACTTTTTTATGGCATGTACCTCCATTCTCAGATCCACTGATTGAAGGATTCTCTTTCAGTAGTTGACTCTTCTCTTTATCTAACCCACCAAAATTAAGTGGATGTTGCAAACCTATTTCTTGTCTAAGCTCATGTGCACTTGATTCACTAGATTCATCCTTCTCCAGTGCAATAGGGGCTGCATCCACAGCTTCATTAGAAGTCATTTTGTTAGAGACGTCCTCAATCAAAACATCATCGTCCTCTCCTGATCCATAAACAGAACCAAGCAAGGATAATGCACCATCTGGTTCACCAACAGCCTTTCTTTCTTCATGCTGAGGCTTCCTGTCACCATCAGAATCCAAAAGCTCTTGGTGATCGACAAGATACCTATAGTACGGATGTAGGTGATGATCTGGCATCAAGAAGCCAAATGTTGGGTTATCTCCCTGTTTCACCCTCAGAACAATTTCTGACTGTCCCCCATGTCTGCTAACAAATTGAGCAGTCCTTGCTATTATCTGATGAGCCTTCTCAGATGGTGGCTGAAAGAATAAATATGAAGCAAGACCTTTTTTGTCAAGAAGTTGGCTTCGAAATACATTAGACTATCAAATAGAAACTTGATTCTTACACAATAATCACAAGATCAAAATTCAATCAGGCGTGTGAAGCAATTGCCAACAAGCAGAGTTTTTACAATATGATGATTAAGTAGAGCATTCCCTCTCAAGCAATATAGATTACTGTCCTTGTAAAGAAACTTAATATTCCTAATCCCACCTGTACCGCACTCTCTCTTGATCATGACATCAAAGGAAACAAGGTGCCTGTGAATGGCAACTTAGATGACAATAACTCCATCACTGCTACAAGCATCTGAGCTCTGAAAACTTAGACACGGTGAGGAAAAAATATACAATTAAGGCACTTGTCACATCCACACGGTGAAACTTCGTTAGCAACTGCAATACCCAACAGTCATAAAAGTACACCAAGGTAGGCTGAAACACACTAACTTACCAAGCATTGAAGAAGGTGTTCAGGCACATTGAAGGGTGGGCGAAATGCAGAAGTCTCCACCCCAAACTCCGTGTTTACTTCTTCAGCAATACTATTTGCCTTTCCGTAAGAGAAGGGAATGGCATGGTATCCACCAGTATTATTAAGCAAATGGGAAGTGCTTTCTTCATCTTTTTCTGCAGGGAAAAGTTATTGTGTAAATATAAAAATGAACACATTTATAGAAGCGGTAACAGTAAAATATACATTTGCTCTAACAAGTGGAAAGCCAAAACATTTTCAAGTTGACCTTGTGAGTTATGTGGCCAATCCATACTGCAAACTCCTATTTTCAGATTACAGTTTTGAAATTACTGACATTCCTCTCTACATTCTAATGACCAAAGTCACCAGATATCGTTCTTATTCTATATTGAATAGTTAGTCATCATTATCATCATTTCTCAAAGAACTCTGAACAAACATGAACTGTGCTTTGAGAACATCAAATCTTAAATCAAAATGATCATCCAGCAAATAGCTTCAGCATACTTCAGCACACCAGAGAAAAAAGTTCCAGAATGAAATATCCTCCCTCCGCTGAGCTAAATTTAAACGACAAAAAAAGCATATACGACAACCAAAATAAATCAAATGCACCAAATACATTACCTGGATCATCATCAGATGGAGGAAGATCGAGATAACGCTCCAGATCGAGCTCCGATTTAAGTGACGAATCAATCGCGTGAGATAGAGAATGAAGCGATCGCTTAGGCTGCGGCGGCGGGCCGGAGAGAAGGTGGCGAACGTCGTAGCGGTCGATGTGGAGAGAGTTCCACTCAACGAGCGCATCGGCGGAGTTGACGAAGATCGCCATCGCATCGTCGTCGAATAGCAGAGCGTGCCGTCCCACGACGTCCAGATCCATAGCCCTCTGAATCCCTGATTGAGATTGGGGAACGACGAGTCGAAGAAACCCTAATGAGCAGACGATGAACGCCGCGAACAAAATGGGTTATTCGATGTTGACTTTGGAGAAATTTGGCAAATTTAAGGAGATCAAATAGAAACTTCTTTATCAATGAATAAATAAGGTAAGAAATTTTTTCTTTTTTGGAAGTGCAACACTTGTACAATCAATTAAGAAATGATTTCGCAAATTGATTTGGCAAAATCATTTCTTTTTGATTAGTGCAAATTTAAATTTATGATTTTCTAGTTGTTTTAAAATCAATTAATTCATTCCAATTGAAAATAAATAGTCTTTCAATAATCTAGAAAATGTATAAAGATAAATATAGCGAATTTTTATTTTTAATCATACCATATCTTAAAAATTAATTCATTCCTATAATTTTTTTATAAATAATCCTACCACCAAATATACACACTTTGACACTTTTAATCTATTTTAGACTAGTTGAAACATGTGATTGTAATCTCTTTTCTACGAAAATTATAAATTTATTTCATTTTAAAAAAACTTTTCACTGTGATTTCTTTAAAAAATACCTCTATTTTTAATTAAAATTTACCTTTTTTCTCTATTAATTATTAACATAACTATCATACCATATTTATTTATTGGTAAGTCTAAAATGACACCGGTGTTACTGATGTCATTTGCTTACACTAGTTCGTTTGGGGTACCTATGATGCTCCGTTTGTAAAAATGACGGTTCCTATCTTTACCCAAACGAATAAGTGTAAGCAACTGGTGTATAAATACCTAATGTCATTTTAAACGCTTTCTTTATTTACTACTCATATTAATCTACCCATTCTATAATATCTTCTATATTAGAATTTAGAAGTACATGAACTTTTATGTGTATGTGTTGTGCATAACATAACCCCCATTTCATAAAAGTGCAAAAAAATAAGGATCGCGTTTCATGTACATCTAATTTAAGTAATATCATTTTTTTATATTTCACAATTAAAAATTATTTTTGTTGGACAAGTATTGTCTATTTTATATAGATGTATAATACTCTATACAAGTGCAGAATAAAAAATTAATAGTGCAAAACTTAAGATAATCATTTGATTCTTAGAGGGTGTTTGGGAGTGATTAACTTGTGGATAAAGTGATTTCCACAAAAGCTGAAAGCAAAAGCACCGCATAGCAGTTTCTCCGAAACGGTGTTCTATGTACAATTTAGTGGTGGTTAAAAGCAGAAGCTGACATGCCAAACAGAGTAAAATCACTTCCACTCAAAGCAGAAGCTAAATTATTAAAAGCAGCGCACTGTCAAACACTCTCTTACCATTATTAACTCTATTACTCCGTAATATTTATCAAATACGGAGTATATTTTATTCTTTTGGTTTTATAATTAAGAACTAATTTAATGAAAAATATTACCGAGTAAATACGAAAAATAAATAATGGGAGAATAGTATAGGGAGGGGACGACAACGTTATTTTCCATATTTTACCCCGACCTTGTACAGAACAAGAAGAAATCAAGAAGCAAACCTAATTGGGCGTAGGAAGAACAGATCACAAAGAGGAGTAAAATTGAAATCTCAGTGAATCTCTGCTTGCTACATATGGCCAATCTCCCGCAGAATCTCTCGATCAGCGCCGCCGCCCCACCCCCCTCCGCCGTCGGAGCTCAGCCCAACAAGGACCGAAAGATGCAATCCGCCGAGCAGCTGGTGCTCGATCTCAGCAATCCCGACCACCGCGAAAACGCTCTCCTCGAACTCTCCAAAAAGAGAGAGCTGTTTCAAGATCTGGCCCCGTTACTGTGGAATTCATTTGGTACCATTGCTGCACTTTTGCAGGTAAAAAAAAACTCATATTGCATTGAGATCTTACTTTATCATCTCTTATTTTGGGCATTGTATTTTGTATGGTTTCGATAGGAATCTGAACATATGATTTAGAAATTCGAAACCCGGCTTGTGTTATGCTCGAATCCGTCCCAAGAAAAGTGCCAAATCTTTTCAAAGATATGGGGACACCGCTGAGAATCATCATCTGATCATCTAATTCTTAATTAGCAATTAACTGATGATAATCATTGGAACATACAAAAGTTTATGTTTTCTGTTTCAGTATAATGTAATAGAGTTGTCATTTAAATCTATGATTGTGGATTCGCGTGTTCAACTATCTTGCTCTATTACCCATATAAATCTCATCCATTCAAAAATTAGAAGCAAATATTCTTTCTCTTTAATGACCAAAAGTGGTAGTTCATTCTTAATTGATTCCAGGTTATGTTTGGGTTTCAATGAATGTCTTAATTATTTAAATTGTGCTTTACGCTCGCAGGAAATTGTCTCCATATACCCTGTCTTGTCACCACCAAACTTGACTCCGGCACAATCAAATAGAGTTTGTAATGCACTTGCTCTTCTTCAGGTATGTTTTTTGTTTGGTATGTTTTCTGAGTGTAGTTAGAATCTAAAAAATGTGGCACGGTGGATTTTGCATTACAATATGTCTTCTCATGCATTAACTGGTTTGATCCTTGTATGTCGGGAGCTAAGCTGTCTTGTTATCTTTTGTAGTGTGTGGCCTCTCACCATGAAACCCGACTGTTGTTTCTCAATGGTAAGCATTTTACTTTTCTATATTGGTTAAGGATTCGGTTGCCGAATATGAGCATATCCTCTGTAAAATTTTACACTTTTGGGTTTCATGACTACCAACTCATTTCCACTTTTGGTCAACAACTTTCATTTTTCAATCCCTATCTATCTGGTGAAAAATCAATTGAATGTTCCGAAATTAAGTGACTGGAAGGGCTTAAATTAGCAAAAAGTTCATGGCCGTGCACAAGAAGTCGAAAAAATGGAAGTTGGTGATTAAAAGCGAAATTGGCCAAGTTATTTCTAGATTTTGGAACAATATTTCTTGCTTTCTTAATAAATTGCACACATGTTAATATGTTATGCACATATTGTTTCTCTTTCAAAATTGTCATTGAGTCCATTTGAATTGCTTCTGAATGGTTTTTCTTCTACATGCAGCCCATATTCCTCTCTACCTGTATCCTTTCCTTAATACAACAAGCAAGTCAAGGCCTTTTGAATTTCTTAGGCTTACTAGCTTAGGCGTCATCGGTGCCCTTGTGAAGGTAACGATTTTCTGTATATACCCTCATGAGTCATGACATGACACTTATATATTCATCTCTCATATAAATTCATTTGTGCTCCCTCAAATATTTAAATGCTTGCATATCACACCTAGTTTAGTTAAAGAAACAACTAAAGTTTAATTTTATTTTCAAAACAAAAAAGATGTCATCTTTTTGTGTTGATCTTTGTAGGTGGATGACAGTGATGTCATCAATTTTCTCCTATCAACAGAAATAATTCCTCTTTGCCTGCGCACAATGGAGTTGGGTAGCGAACTCTCAAAAACAGTAAGTGGTTTCTACGGGATTTGCAGTCACAAAGGAACTGATTCACCACACAACTTTCATTTTGCGAAAGATTCTTTTATGAATATGTTATCTGACTAGGGGCTTTCTGCTAATAGGTTGCAACGTTCATTGTGCAAAAGATCCTTCTAGATGATATGGGGTTGGATTACATATGCACTACAGCCGAGCGGTTCTTTGCCGTAGGGAGGGTGCTGGGTAATATGGTGACCGCACTCGCGGAGCAGCCTTCCTCCAGACTGCTGAAGCATATAATCCGTTGCTACCTTCGTTTGTCTGATAATGCAAGGTTCGTCTTCTTCTCCTCTCCAAATTTATATAAAGTTTGTAGAGTATAAATAAAGATTTATTTTGGACGGGAGTTATAATGCGGTCCATATTTACTTTTATATTACTGCAGAGCTTGTGATGCACTCAGGAGTTGCCTTCCAGATCTGCTCAGGGATGCCACTCCCTTCAGTAGCTGCCTTCGAGTACGTATAGTTTACCATTTCTACTTGGTATAAATTTTTCATTTATTACTCCCTCCATTTCAATTGAAGAGTCCTTTTTAAAACTTGTTTTTGTCCCAAAAAAAGTCACATTTGAACAAAAAAGCAGGCAATTTTCATTATATTTATTACGAGTACTTCTTTAGTAAAATAAAAAGCATCCCAACAAGTTACGTATGTTAAATTTAGTTAATTATTAAAAAAAAATTCCAGCAGTTGTATCTTAACTACACTACTCTTCTTTTGACCTTAGAAAAAAATGACCCGGGCACCAATGATGTTCCGTTGTAAAATTGATGGTTTTTACCTTTTAACCCCCCTCCCCCCCAATATATTTCTAGAGGTGGGAGGAAGGCAGGGGGCTGGGATGGGGGTTCAGGAGGGGGTAGGATTGTAGGAACCATCAATATTACCAATGAAGCACCATAGGTGCCCCAAAAGACTCGTGTCATTTTTTTCTATGGTAAAAAGAACTTTGCCGCCTAAACCAATGTTAGAAGAATTACACATTGGTGAAATAGAGGGAGTAATGACTAGTGTTCATTTGATGAATGTGTCGCCCCCCCCCCCCTTTCTTTGTGTGATAACTAGTTATATTGTAAGTGTTATTTATTTAACTTTATGCCCATTGTTTCAGGAGGACCCGACAACCCGAAGGTGGCTACAACAGTTACTTCACAACGTCCAAGTGCCCCGGGTTCCTCTACAAGCAGGCGGTGGATTTGATCATTTGTTGATGAACTGAAAAACATCAGTCTTTCTATACATCATGGTATGTATGTATGTGTTTTAGGTCACTTGTCACTTATTTAGTATTCTCACAGCTTCCTTTTTATAAGGGTTCCCCTCCTATTTACTCCGTATAATTGATTTTTGGTTTTGGATCATGCTAGCCAAGTGAACCCCCAACATATGTAGCCATTACCCTAAAAACATGTATACGGTTTCCATGACATTGCTCGGCAATGTCATAGAATGACCTGAGGACGCTCCGGTGCCCCGTTCATAAAATTGACGATTTCTACCCCCGGCAAACCCTCCCCTCCACCCCGACCTGAACACACCCCCATCCCCTTCAATTGCACCCCAAGTTAATTTTGACTTTGGAGTCAAAATTTGACTCCAAAGTCAAAACTAACTTGTGAGGTGCAATTGGGGAGGGTGGGGGTGTGTTCGGGTCGGGGCATGGTGGGGGGTTAGGGGGTAGGAACCGTCAATTTTACGAACAAGGCACCGGAGCGCCCCCCAGGTCATCCCATGACATGGGGTTCTAATGTCACGGGAACCCCACCGATTATTAATAGTGTCCCATAACCTTTATTTTCATTGAATAGGACAATGCGAATGGATGATGATGATGAGCCAAGTATGGTTAAACAAATGAGAAATTGTGTAATTAAGAAGAAGAAGAGTGGATAATCTATTTTCTTTATCTCTCACTTTTCTTTTCCTTTACTCATAGATTGGCACTTTAGTCAGACATGCAAAACTATGGTCTGTGAATCAGTGGATGTAATGCCTTTTCAGTCTCTCTTTTATTTTGAAATATATAAAATGCCCTTGTGAAATTCTTCTTCATCTCCTTAAAAATGAAATTTGCTACTTCCCCATGCCAAAGTGTTTGACTTCAGTTATTTATAATTAAATGTATTTTAATTTTTAGTGTAATACTTGAAAATAACATTTAAATATTTAAGGATTATTCCATACATCAATTTTTTTATAAAATAAGAGGTGACATAATTATTTTTTTAATGAATGAATGCTGAAAATATTCAAAATATGTGATTTGATTAGTAATAGTATTCCGTAGTTAAGAAGATAAATCTGAGACTGAAGAGAATTAAAGTTCATTGCAAAAAATATTTAAATATGTACAATGCTATTTCAAATTTACAAGATTCAAGCTTGATCTAATATTTCATCTCCAACCAATTTACCTTAATTTTTAATACTCTAAAAGATATGGAGTATAATTGAATTTGAATAGAAATAGGTAATTATTTATAAAAAAATAAAAATATAATCATTACAGTGGTAGTGAGACATTACAGGTGATTTTGAGTGAACGAATGATCACCCATGACCATTGGTTCACATTATTTCTTCTTTTACACAAATTTTATCCGGGGTAACTTTTCTTATATTTTCAACACTTTTCTTAAGTCCTACTATTTGATAAAAAATTTTTTAACATTTCCTCTTATCTATATGAAAATGTTATATAGTGGTAGTGTTTAATTTATACCATTTAAAAATTATCTAAAACATTAATGTTAATCGAAACATTATTTCCAAAGAAAACTTGATAACTTTAAGTTAGTGTTTAAAACCAACATTTCCAATTTTCGCATTTCAATTTCAAAATTTAAATTCCTGAATTTCAAATGATGAGGAGATATATGAATTTTAAATCAAGGTTTATTATAAATTGGAAGAATTATCTAAAATCCAATTTATTTTTTGGGTTATCAATATAAAATTTGAGCCAAATATAGATTTGAAGTCCAAATCCAAGTTCTCAAACATACCATAAAATTAAACCGTAAAGTTTACTTTTCTATTTGTTTCAAAATGATTTATAGTATTATAACGACGTATAAAATCTCGTACGTAGTAACTTTTAAAATTATTTATTAAGAAATCATTATTTTAATAAAAAGTATAAAAATGTGTACATAATTAAAGACTACATTTAAATTTTTACAGAATAAAAGGTGACATTAAAGTTATATTTTTCACATCACTCTCCATCAAATAATGTCAACTTTTTTTAAAGTTGCTGCTCTAATTTAAATGTCAATTAAATGGGAAACTTTTTATTCAAGGTGGATTGATTCCAACATATACTCGAGGAAAAAGGGATATTATTTGTTAATTAATATATTTTAAAATTATTTTATTTACAAATTAATACAAAATAAAAAGTATAAATTATAAATTTTACAACTACATTAAAGAATTTGTTGGATATAAAACAAAATCTAAAAAAATATTTTATTTTGTTAAATAATTAATTAATGAAAACACATGAATAGTAAAAAATGAAAAAGAACTAAAATGATAATTTTGGGAAGACCCGAGAAATAAAATATGGGATTGATCAAGGCTATATTCACTTCAATTTATTTTTATTACTTATTATCGAATACGGAGTACTTTTTTTATTGGAATCTGATCACTTCATATCAGATCATATCAGATCAAATCAGTTTAAATACAACTACAATCAGATCATACCAAACCAAATCAAAACTTATTCTAATCGGATCAAAACCATTTAGATCATTTGAAGAGAACATGACCCCAACATTTGGCTCTCAAAAGCTCAATTACAAAAAAAAAATCATAAACATTTTCGAAATCACAAACATTTATCCAAACAAACAACTCAAACAAACATCTAACAACTCGCGTCCAATATTTTTATTTTTTATACGAGAGCTAACAACTAAGAGTTAGGGTACCAAACATGGTCACACATAAACAAACACAAGGGAGAAAACCCTGTGAGGTTAAAATAAACTCTGGTTGGAACACAAACTAACCAACAATGGCGAAAGCCCATGGGCCGAGGCGGCACCACCACTCCTCCGCCACAAATACCACCATAATACCTTCTATTTTTGGCAGCTCCCCTCCCCCCGCATTCCTCAATTGGTATATATAATAACACCACATAAACTGCCTCCTGTCTGGTGCAACATTGCATCTATCTCATCCCCATCCTCCATCTCCAGCTGCATATAAGAAATAAATTACTATGGGTGTTTAAAGAAAGCTTCGTGCGGAGAGACGCTTTTGCCCTTCCATCGCACACTCCCGGGACAAAATTTACAATTTGACTTTTATGGTCAAAACTTATAAAATTTGACTACAATTTGCATTTGGAAAATATTGAATTATAATTTGACATTGACATCAATGAATTCATTTTGAAATGTATTCGCCTGTGGAGCCAAAGATTCACTATTTTTTTGGCTTTGGGGTATGATGGAATAAAGCAAATTGGCTCTTTAAACTGTTTGCACTTCTTGCAATCGTGAAGTAGCAGTGAGTCAATGCAACCCACCCGTGCAATGGGCAGGAGCCGTTGAGGCTCTGGGGTAATGTTGTTTTTTTTCTTGTAGAGCAGACAAACATGTTGGTCATGTTGGTTTCGAGTTGCTTTGGGTTGGGTCAATTAGGGTTTGGATTGAAAAAAATGCATGTTCATGTCCCAATATTATTGAGTTCGGGCCAACCCAATGAATTATGAATGTTTATTTTTGGAATATTGTCGATTGTATTTTGCATAAAAATAAAATAGAATATTCAAATATATCAAAGCTCCTACCCTATTTTCTTTTTCTTTTTTAATTTAGATATACCAAAATACTATAAATAAAATAAAAGCTTAAATATGCACAATTTTTTTTAAAAAAATAAGATAACAGTACAATATTGTTAAAAATTCATTTGAAAAGATAAGTGTATACACTAAAGAGTAACAAGAAAACAATATTATATCATTATTTTTATCACATTCCTTTTCATACTAAAGTAAATGATTTTGAAAAAAGCCTTACCTCAACGGGTCAATAGGCTCGAAATCAAATTTGTTGAGGGTTGACCCATTTTTAGCGGGTTATTACAAATTTGATTAACAAAATCTCTGTTCAAACCTAGTATTCTCGTGTTGGATATCAGACCAAAAAACAAGTCGAATCAATTGTTGTGTGGTCTAATTTAAAGTATTCCCGTAGAGATCATGAAAGTCAAACTGTAAAACTCCAACATGTGAAGGAGGCAATGTAGAAAACAATTAACACTCGTTTTGGTCCCTCTAAGTGCACTTTTGTGAGTCAATTTTGTTTCACAGTTTTTAGTTACATGGATTAAATTTGACTCGATGTAACATGCATGGACCAAATTAACTTACGGATGTACTTAGAGGAACCAAACCGAGCATTAACTCCATAGAAAATGGAGGTGAGAATAGGGTACCTACCTCGTCAGGAGTCTGTTCTGGTCTCAAACGACGACCGTCAAACAGAAATGCAACAGAGCTCAGTTCCATAGATTGTCTGTCACAGTAAGCATTCATCAGCTTCTTCAATTGTGTGTTCCTCTTAATCCGGAAAAATACTTCATTCCCATCCTGCAAAAACAAAGTTAAGTCCTATTGTAGACAACAATTATTTAGCAGCTAAAATAGCTCCTTCAAATTAAGCAATTTAGAGCATTTGACCTTGAAATACATGGAGTATTTTTTATGATACATTAAAATATACATGGAGATAAAATATTCTTTACTTTATTAGGAAAGTAAAAAAAATGCAAAAATAATTTTGGGACGATCCAAAAAAGAGTGAGGATTAGTTCAGGCCGGACAGAGTGAATTTAACTTAAATTGACTCATAGTAAATGAGTAATATGTCCCCAAGTGTAGTCTTTTTGCTCGATCCCAATATGTTTTTGGAATATTATGTGACTTCATCCTGAGGTTTATGCTAATTCTAAAAATGAACTTCCCATGAGATAAGAGTTAACACGAGAAATTTCAAATGGGTATTTTAGTCCAACCTAGGGTAAATTTTGATAATAGAGAGAGCAATATAATAAATAAAAATAATTTGAGGATTACCAAATAAAATTATCCCTCCACACCAACCTAAAGGGCACACTTTGACTGAACACGAGAATAAATAAAATAAAAACTTCAATGTTGATACTCAATGTATCCCAACAACTTAAACCATTTTCCCTTTTTAGACGTCTCAAAAACATTTCTCACATAGTTCAGTTCCTTTTTTATTAATGACTACGTGGCTCGTACATTTCTCTCCCGTCTAAACAAATTCAAATCATACACTTCTTAAGTTACAACACCTTTCTTAAACTTGTGAAAGCCAGAGGGGAAATCCTTTTTGGACAGAGAGAATATTAATGAAGAGGTTTAAATTCTATAAATTGAAACCAACACAAGAGCTGAGACATGCCAAAACAGAAAACAGGGAATAATCCCTTCGGACCAAACACAAAGATCAGTCTGGAATTAGATGTTCCGGTAATTAGAGTTAAAAATTGGAGGGAACAAACACTAATTAGGGAAGAGGAAATACATTTTGAGTGGAACGTCGACTTAAATTAACAACCAAAAGTGTATAATCAATTAAATTAAATGGAACACTTACTTGATCTAACAAGCCATGGTCTAATCTTATGATTCCTAAAAATGTTGTGCTTCTATTGTAATACTCACTCCGTCCATTACTTAAAGTCTCATTTGGAATTTTACGGAGCTTACGAGGGGTGGAAATAAGTGGTTGAGATTTATATAGCGTAGAAAAATAATCAAGGACCACAAAACTTAATTTAGAGCCTAAGGAAGTATGGAGTAGTTATTAGGGAGTACTATTAATATTATTACTACTAATGAAATGTACACTCTTTGTTTCAAAATAAAGTTTTGCATCGTTATCGGCACAACTATTAAGAAAGATGATTTTGTATAGTTAAAACTTAGGGCAGTGGAGATTAAAAATAATCATATGGAGAAACTCAAAGTTAGTGTGAAATTAAAAGATACTTCCTTTGTCCGAATGTGTTGGTCTTGTTAGCCAAGCTGAATAAAATTTGATCATCAATCAATTAAATAAAAATAGCCTTACGTATGTGTATAAAAAACATTAAATTACATTTTTTTTGTGAGATACATTTGATAGACGATTTGATTTTATTAATATACAATGTTATAGTATTTATTTAATTGACGATCGACGTTAGCAATACAAATTAAACAAAAATTACTTGAATTTATTACTGCACCCGGGCTTGTAGTTGGTAATATTACTCCGATTAAGACGAAAAGAATAGGTCCTCTGTATGAATAATGAAGTGTCAATAGAATTTTGAGAAATTCAATCGTGGTGGTAAGTGAACAATTTGCAGATATGAAATCTTAGTAAACACAAAAAATTTCAGCTTTAAGTTCCAGATTAAATAGATATTTAAAAAACTAAAACGTTGTGCTTGATGATAAAAACAAAATACGAATCAGGGAGGTGTAATAAGTAATAATTACACAGAAAATTAATACTAAAAAAAGAAGATGATGAAGATGAAGGAGAGACCTGGCCCTTGACTTTGAGGTTGATATGGTTCTGATCGGCGGTGGATGGCTTCTTCTCCTCCTGCTGATTCTGGTTGAGACCGGCGGCGTCCTGGTTAGGAACGGTGGCGTTCGTGATGCCAGACATCTCTCTGACGCGCCTGAGTTAACGCCGGCCGGGATTTATCAACTGCCGCGGTTTTCCGATAACTGTAAAAAAAACTGCTGGGGGGGAATGTAGAGTATGAGATTAGATGTGATTTTACCCTAATCGGTAAACCGCCCAAATTAAAGCCGCTTTTATTATTCTCTTTATTGACGCGGGGGACGGTCAAAGATGACGGCCCATGGACTCCGGCTTTTTAAAAGTTGTTATATTCCCACACCAGTCGTACGTTTTTTTATTTACTCCCTCCATCCATTTAAATTTTCGCGTCAAATTCCATGTTTTTTAAAATACCATAATTTTATTTAAAAATTTAAATTATTATTATAAAAAAAGTATACAACAAATTTTATGAAAAAAGAGATATACAGACAAGATTTACTGTAAAAAAATTATAATCAATTTCAAAAAAGAGGGAGCGTTTATTTATAAAGGTGCCAAACAAGTTGATAAAAATATAGTCTCATTGACCTTGGCCAACTAGCTCAAGTGGTGCCTATGTGATTTAGAAAATTCACACCAATACCTCTTTTATTTTAAAACTTATTTCTAAAGTCTTTGTGGTTTTAAATCATTGTACCCGCAACCCCTTCGATCACTTCATTGACGCCTATTTTCTAAACCATAGGGGGAAATAGCTGGGCACACATATTCATTTCTTATTTTTTGTTTATTGCTTTTGTTTTTTTAATTTTTTTTTAATTTTTTAATATCTTTGTTTCCCTTCCCTAGAAAACTTTTTTAAATTTTCTTAAATTTCTTATACCCTCTCCATCCAAAAATAAAGTTTCTATTGCGTGTTACGATGTTTGACTAAAGTTATTTTCGAATTATTTTATATAAAAAATGGTATGAAATTAAAAACAAAAATTACATATTTAAATCCACATTAAAAGATCTACAAAATTAGAGATAACATGACTATATTATTTTATCAAATAAGACATGAAAATAGGCCAACAAAGTAAATAAAATCTGACTCTGTGAATAATGAACATGAATTTTATTGTTGGACGAAGAGAGTAATGTGTTTTAAAATAAAAAATTCTTTGGGTTTAGAATAAAAATTAAAAAAATTAACATATACTCCATCTATATTAAATTAAGCATTTTAACTAGTTGTTTTCTGTAAGTTCAAAAAGAAAATAAAAATAAAAAATAAAAATATGGAAAAAAAATGAAAAAAAATTACAACGAATCGTTGAACTATGTGAAATCATAGGAAACGAAATGAGTTTCACATAGTGAAACGAATCGAAACATCTAGAACAAGTTTTATACAAAAAGGAATTTTTAGAACACCTAAAACAGTTTTTAGAATTAAGATGTTCAAAATGGATATTGATTTTTACTTTTTATTTCTTATTTTATTCCCTATTTTTTCAAGTTCTAAAAACAAGTTTTATATATGTTATTTTAGAAAAAAAATAAAAATGTTAATTTAAACAGATGCAATATATGTTACTTTTTTCAAACAAAACTAATTTTAAATTTTAAAAAATATTATAAAGACAATTTTAAAAAGAAATTTTAAATTTTTGATTAGTAAAAGAAACAAAAAATAAAATGAAAAACAAAAATAAACAAAAAATAAGAAACGAGCACTAGTGTCTTATGATTTGGAAAATAAGCACCAATACCCTTTTTCGTTGGATAGACGATCGAAAAATGATCAAAGGCGATATGTGCAATGTTTTGAAACTACACAAATTTTAGTAATAAGTTTTGAAAACATGTAGGGTATTAGTGCTTGTTTTCCAAACGCCGAGAGTACGTACTCGTGTTATTTGGCCCATTGACATTTGACATCAAATTTAACCGTATATATTTCGCAAATATATATAAATAGTGATTTTTTGTACACTTTATATAAAATTTATTTATGGATATCTATAGAATACATGATATCGAATTTTAACATCAAAATTGATGTGATCATAAATATCATTATTCATTCAGTATTTTGAATAATGTGTTATGGAGTTAAGTCGGTGATTCAATGATATCTCCAAGTTTGTCCAGTTTTCGTGAAGAACATGATAAACTTGAGGTCATTTTCAAGAGTTGTCATATAGAATTGAGCTTGGCATTCGAAGTTATCAAGTTTGTTGAATTTCTCATAGGGGCACAAAGCAAGCAATGTTATTATGAATGCATCTATGTGTGGAAAATGAGACACAATTGTGATCACTCTTGAAGTGTCCCTAATATTATTAATGTGTTATGCCTTTTTCCTGTTGAGCATGGAACACAGTTTAGAAAAATTTTAGATGGTTGGAGAACAATACAATAAAACTAGGTATGCTAAGTTTAAGCTCAATAATTTAGTCAAGGCCAATCAAAAACATGTCTTTAGGGCATTTCAAACGACTAAAGAGATGATAGTCTAAAGTCGGTCATGACGAGACGACTTGAGAAACCACATTAGTTAACATATGAAATATCTTGGTAAGATCAATCATATTTGGCAGGTTATGACAACTATAATTCATTTTGGGTTGGAATACTAATTGATGTCGAAAATCTATAATACGAGCAAGTGGGAAATGGGCCTTAGGTGCCCTCGAACAAATTTCTTTTAAAAATAATACACATCAATTGAACTCACTTGACAGTAACAGACGACACAAAGCAAGTATCATAGTCGTAACAATAAAATAACACACTTCAATGCATCCAAGATCACATATACTCTCTGCATAGCATTGCAATAGTGCTACATTTTCTTTTATATGAACTTACATTCTAGTCTATTTTGAGGGAATCCACTTGTGCCTACTAGCTCTCCTACTACCTTTGTATACATAGATTTCCATTTTGGTCTTTGAAATATTGATTCTGGTTGAAAGTAATTGGCCCGGACCGAGCTTGATGATTACACAAAGAAAGGCGGTTCATATGAACCGGGTTTGATACAAAAACTCTAACCCAAACCCAAACCCAAACCCAAACAGCTTGCAACCACAAAGCAGACGGTTTGACAGTGTTTTGACTTTTGACCGCTCCGCGGTGCGACAGAGGTTTTATCCCCAACTCTCACCGGCCACCATTATGATCCAGAGAAGCCCGAAATACCCAAAATACCCCCCGCTACCACATCTTCCTCTGCCCCCTTTTTCTCTTGGTTCTTCTTCGCCCGAACAATCCACACAGTAGAGAGAGAAACTGAGGTTTAGAGAGAGAGAGAGCGAGGGGGAGGATAGGATAAAGATCTCCCCCACGATTACCCATGACGTTTATTTGATATATCTATCTGTTTCCTCTCAATCGGTAGAGAAAAAGATCTGATCTTTTTTTCTTTTACCAGTTCTTGATTTGGACGATGAGGAGTGGCAGAGCACATCCGCAGTTCAGAGTGTCCCCGGAGGACGATGGAGGCGGCGCCGGAGAAGCCAACGGATCTGGCGAGATCAGGTTCCGGGGCGTGAGAAAGAGACCCTGGGGGAAATTCGCGGCTGAGATCAGAGACCCTTGGAAGAAAACCCGTGTTTGGCTCGGGACCTTCAACTCCGCCGAGGCCGCCGCCAGAGCCTATGACGCCGCCGCCCGGAACCTCCGTGGTCCTAAAGCTAAGACCAACTTCCCGTCGCCGCCTGCTCCTCTCCATCCTCATCTCCCTCCTTATCACCACCATCAGAGTTTTCAATTCAACCCCAGGGTAAAAGATTCGTCCTTTGTCGACCAAAGAATTTACTCCGATCATCATCCTATTATCTCCCAGAGGCCGACCTCCAGCGGCATGAGTAGTACGGTAGAGTCCTTCAGTGGGCCCCGGCCTCCTCGGCTTCTGCCGCCTTCTCGGCCGTTGGTGGTCCCTGATGATTGCCACAGTGACTGTGATTCGTCTTCCTCAGTCGTGGACGACATGGGCTGTGAATACATTGCCTCTTCTTCTTTCAGAAAGCCCTTTCCTTTCGACCTGAATTCCTTGCCTGCAGAGGAACCCGAGGATGCCGAAGCCTATGATGACCTCCGGTGCACAGCTTTGTGTCTCTGACGGTCAGCAATGGCGATTCTTCATTTGTAACCAATATTGATTGCCTAATTTTACTTTTTCTTTTTCTTTTACCTTTTAAATTTTATTTTACCATCTCCTCTTTATGGTGCGGAAAAAGGCGGGGAATCAAGAAGGAAGTCAGTGGATCATGGTTATTAGAGCCAAAGACTGAACCTTTTATCAAATGGTTTGTCTGTGATGAGTCTGCTCTTTGAAGTGGATTTTCATGTTAATCAATTGTGATGCCTGTTTCAGTGTTGTTTGATGCATTTCATCTGATGTTATGTCTTCTGCTTGCTCTTATGTTATGATCATGATTTTCATAATCATTATATAATTGCCAATTATGCCCCTTTTAGCCACATTTGTTTGTTCTTACACTTGCATGATATGTGTGCTCATTTGATCTTTCTTGATTGTTATGGAGTATGTTTTTTGATAATCTTCCTTGATTGTTATAGAGCATGTTTGTTGATAATCTTTCTTGATTGTTATGGAGATAATCTTTCTTGATTGTTATGAAGTACTTTAGTTGACAATCTTTCTTGATTGTTATGGAGTATGCTTATTGTGCCTTTAGCTTGTGGACATCTTTGCATGGTAAAGATTGGATTTTTCTCTTGTAACATTGTAATATGATTCTATACTAATGACGTTTGTCGTGTAGCGATGTCATTTTTCTCGGTGTTTGGTATTTATCAAAAGGAAAGTATTTTGTAGTTTTAGCAATCAATGTTGCCAAAAAGTTGTCGCCATTCGACCGTTTCCCGTGGTATGAAGTTTCCGCGCGTGTGGATGAGGAAGGCTTGCAAGATGATTGGAGATTCTTAATAGGTATTGAACAACATTCTATGTTCGTTTTGATATATTGTAGGTAATAAATTTTGACACGTGTAGTGGGGCTCGGGTTTCCAAGAATATTTTACGTATTTCCTAGTTTGATTGCCTTTTAATGAATGTTGAGGTTAGCGGTTGATTATGGTAGCTAACGGTTGCTTATGCTTATTTTATGTAGCTTTTAATTGGCTGAAATATATATTACCAAATGTTTTACCTCGTAGATAATTCAACCATTTCATATCACTGAAATAACGTTTACAAAACGAGCCT